TTATTATTGTTAGACTTCAAATTTTATAAATATAGTATGATTATTTTATTTTTATATTTATAAAAACTGTATAATCTCTATAAATATTAAATATATTAAATAAATTTTAATCAATTGACCCGTAATCGAACCCGGTTGACCTAGTGATCCGGTGACCCAGAAGGTAGTACGGTTCACCGTTCGGGTCGGGTTTAAAAACATTGCTTATTACATTATTTAAATTAGATTGTTAAAACCTAAATGGGTTCTCAATATTTCTTCTTAAAAATCATTGTTAGAAAAAAACAATGGGGAATTTTTCATTTAAAGGGAGTTTTATATAGCATTATGATATTTACATTTCAAAGACACGATTAAACGTGGTTTATCCAAAAAATTTGTCATTTGTTTCTCTTGTGCAAGGAAAGAGAAGTCAAGTTATTGTGGGACAATCAAATAACGAGACAATGGCATGTGATATCGTGTCTGGTGGATCTTGAAGGTATCTAATATTAAATCAGATAAACCATATGACCATATTATACTTCGATAAAATCTCTGATGATGATACTGATATATGTATGTTTTCAACTTCTTCATTCAAAATTTTGGTATAAAAGATATTCCGAGATCTGATGACACGTTTGTCTTGAAGAAATGAAGATGCACTGCATCTGAAATTAAAAGGAAACATGCGTATAATAAAGATGATCTATCCTAAGCTATGTGGAAGAAATAACGATCCAATAGGTTCTCAATATTCTTAATTGAGGTCATTGTCAGAAAAAGAAAAAAAATGGTATTACCTTACCCAGCACTAAGATTGAATGGTAACCCCATATAGCTAAAGTATAGGTGTACCGTTTTGACAGTTACTAATCACAAAAGCGATACTAAAAACGTTATTAAAAGTTTTACTCTCAGCTTTTTTGTACAACTTTTATCTACCACTGTTTTGTACAGTTTTACACTATTCCGTAACAGCTTACCGCTCCAGCTAACAACAAAAAAAATTATACAGCTTTGTATTACCAATCGGACCCATTATTAAACGTAGTTTATCCAAACAATTTACCCTCTGTTTCTCTTGTGCAAGAAAAAAGAAGAAGTCAATACACATTTCACCTAAGATTTGCTAAATATTATAGTAACAACTTTCAATAAAGATTCACTAACAATCACCATTATTATATTTCATCTTACTAGATAACCAATAATATCTGGAAATTCATTAACCAATAATACCCTATGCTGGTTGAATAGCAGAAATCTTATGAATAGCAGAAGGTTCGCTGGAAAACAAGTTGTGTGTTACTCTAAAACAAATTATTTTGATTGGTTATTTAGTGGTTCTAACGAGTTCAGTAGCAATTCCTTGTGCCCAAAAGTGTCATGGGCTGATAAATCTAATGAAATGGTGGTGGTGGTGGAAGTTGAAGAACATATATGTAAGACCATGCAAGGAAGCTCTCTTGGAAAAGATGTCCAGGCCAATATAGTGAAAATTGTTTACGTTAAAATGGAAGTGGATGCAACTATGGCTAATGAGGTAACTTCTTGCTTGATTATGTTTTTTTAGCTTAGGTTGCATATACTTCAGTTGGATGATATTTAACGAGACAAAAGGTATAAAGACTTGTGTTGAAATTTTGAAAAAAGTAGTTCTTCCTGGAATACCAATTTCAATCAAAAACGGGAATTGATGAGACGTATGAAAGATAATAAATTTAATTGATGAGAGTTTCCTTGCATTATAAACAATTGACGTCATAATCTAGGTAACAAAGAGGGTAGTTTCCCATGTAAAAAATGAAATAGAAAGAGAGAAATGCGAATAGATTGGCGACAAGCGAGAGAGCGATAGATAGATAGATAAATAGAGAGAAAGCCATTGTCGTGAGAAGAGGTCTGATTGTGTTATCATAAGACAAACTTGGATTGTCATATATGGAAAAGAAAAGTGAGAAAACAGTTATAACATGACCTCTTTATGGTAACGTTTGGTTCATATGTAGCTCAAACTTGATGGTGAGGTTTAATGTTGGAAAATAGATTTAAACAAACTTTTAGAAGAAAACTTCTTCAACATGTTCGAGAATATTTCTTTTAAAGTTTCAGATCTGACCAGCAATGTGGAGACATGAACATCTGAATGTACTCGAAATAATCTGAACTTTGGTAGGATTATTCTGGAGATGTTGAACTAAATTTTGGTAGAAAGACATCAAATTTCGAGTTCAAAAGGTCAAATGAACGACGTTGTTTCGGGTAGTTAATTCATAAGCTTATGGAGCTATGTTTGGTTAATGTTAGAAAGTTTAAATTTCTTGCTCTGTTTTTAACCACATAATAACGAATGTTTTACATAGAAGAAGATGGAGAAGTTGAGGAAGAAAGTAAGGAAGATAAAGAGGAAGAGGAAGAGTATAACGTAGAAGTGAAAAGTAATGATGATAACGGCCATAAAAAATTGACAATGCAGATGACGAGAAGGAATATAAAGAGTAAGAAACGATGAATGTGAAGAGAAGTACGAAGACATAGGTGTTGGCGGCCAATTGAATATGAAAAAAACAAGATTGATTCATGGTTCTTTTGATAAGATTTTATTCTGAAATACTATTAATTTTTATAATTCTTATAATTGCGCATTTGAAATAAAAATTTTGCTTTAATAGTAATTTAAAAACTATCATCCGTCGTATATAATTTTCACCAAAATATATCAAATAAACGCGTGGGTTCAAAACCTAGTATTAAGACTCGAAGTATTTATACTAATTAAGCCAAGTAAACGAATTAATAAAATGAGAAAATACAGCCATACACATGGAAACTAGACGAAACTAAAAAAAAACCTGTCAGCTCGATTCTGCTCGGGGAAATCGGAAACTCCCTTCTCTTCGACGTTACCATTAAACCCTAAAGATCAAAACTTCTAGTGGGTCTAGGCGTAGACTAGGTTTCGTGTGAAATCTTTTCTCCTTTTGTAAGAGTTCATTAGGATTTTTAATGCTGATGGACTGATTATCATGTTTGAGATTTTGGATAAGAGGAAAATGTCCTATTTGCCCACCAGAACTATTACTTTGTACCAGATAGAGCTCAAACTACGACCCTGTCTCAAATATTCTAGAACAAATGTTTCTCGACCTATATCTCTTCGGATCGATAATTTTCATCTAATCTTATTTTATAAAATTTGGTTTTAAAAGTTAGTAACTTCCATGATCGTGACACATGTCATAAAAGATTTTTTTTTCCTTAAAGAAGTAAAAAAAAATCCAAAATAAAACATTTACAAATACTAATTTTTATGTCTGTATCTAAAAACTTTAACTTATATGAAAAAGGAAATTATAAGAATCCTAAATGTAAAAGGATTACAATTACCTTTGTTAAAAAAAATATAAAAATAAAATAATATTGTAAATTACCACCCATAAAAATAAAAAATTACAATTACTATTCTTTGAAAATATATATTAAAAGAAAAGTATACAAAAATTAAAAATAAAACATATATATTTTATTATATAGTTAAAAAGAATATACTTTAATTAAAACACTAAAATTTATTTAAAAAGGAAAAAAACAAATATTAAAAATGGTAAATGTAAAAAAGTATTAACTTACTATTTTTTAATATATAAAAGAAAATTATACATAAAAAGACAAATATTTAAAGTAAGAAATCTTATTATATAATGTTTGATGTTTCAATGTTAGTAATCAACATGAACGTGCGTCAAATTATCGAAGATTTATATATCACCGTGTTCAAAACTTTCTATCTTATTTTTAGTTTAATTGTTCGCATTTTTAGATTATTTATTTTTATTTCTACTTTCAGTTTTGAATTATAAGATTTATGATATATCATCTTGCTAATGATTTTAGATTGCGACATGTGTCATAGGTTAATTTAAAATTTACATTAATGATATCAATTTCAGTTTCTAATAAGAAATGTGATGATTTAAAATCATTTTATATTTTTTTAATTTTCTTTTTCAGTTAGGGTTATGTAAGATCAATATATGCTTTTTATATTTTTCTAATATTTTTAATTTAGTTGTTGTATTTTTTTAGATTTTTTATTTTAATTTCTATTTTCATTTTTGAAATTTTGAATCATGTAAGACTTATATATCATCATGCTTACAATTTTCTAGATTATTGTAATAAATCTCACATAAATCAATAATATAGAACTGCAAATTAGTGCCTAAAGGCAAAAACAAAAATAGAAATAATTATTTTCTCTAACTTAAAATTTCTCTGTTTACTTCCTAAATTTTTTTTCTACCTGTAGCAAAAGATTATATATCTTTTTGTTAATTTTAATTTGATTTAGAAGTTTTTAAATCCACACGTCGGGCGGGTCCTTATCTAGTACAATATAAAACATAGCGGCATGTTTGATTCTTTATTCTGAAAAAAAATCAGTGTAGATAGCTTCTTTTAATGTTTTTATATGTATTATTGTTTTTGGTTTTTTTCTTTACATAGTATTCTCCTAGTCTACAGAAATTATTACTAGTTTGAGTAGTTTATAAGTTAATATAATGGTATCAACCCACTCTTATCATCCAAGAATATTTCCCAAGTCCCCAATTTGAGATTTAAATCACTTTTTATTTTCGGGTGGAATCTATCTATTTTGAGAAAAAAGGATTCTTGTTATGACACAACTACGTACGTATTAAACTAACACTACCTTCATTTCAGGTTGACACCGTTCGTGTCGTGTGACCATTTTATCGGCCCTCTCTTCTCGGCGCAAATACCAAGTCTCAACGTCCAACTTCTCTCTGCTTTCTCACAGACAGACTAATATAGAACATGTGTTATATATAGTAATGCAATGATCAATCGAATTTGTATATAAGGTCAACACTTTTACACCAATTCTAATAATTATCAAATTATTAAAAAAAGTATCAACTCCACTTAAGATCCAACATCCCTAATCTTCAAGTCTCCTATATAAACATTCGAACTTCTTAACGATTATCAAATATCAAGAAAGGAAACACTATCCACAAAAATATCAAGAAACCCAATGTTTTCAAATATATTGGCCGTGGTGGCTATACAACTCCTTATACGCAGCGTTTCTTCTCAAAACGTTACCAATGAGTATTTGAACCACCAATGCAACAACACCCAAGGGAGATACACGCGGGGGAGTACGTTTGAGAAGAATCTCAACCAAGTCATCCATAACATCTCCCACCTTCATCTTCGCAACGGTTACACCTACGAATCCAATGTTGTGGCTTATGAAGTTAGTAAGGATCCAAACATTGTCTTCGTTTTGCTTCAGTGCCGTGGTGACTCTTATGGGTCCAAGTGCCACTCCTGCCTCCACACAGCCCTCTCTGGGGTAACTTCACTTCAGTATTATATATTAGAAGTCACATATTTCCATATATGAATGTACATGTTGGGTACAAACCAACGTCCCACATCGGAAGTTTAGAAAATAAGTTTCTAATAAATAATTAAAATCCAACTCCAACTAGTATGAGGCCTTTTGGGAATGAATCCAGTAACAAATCCGTGTGGGCTTGAGCATGTAGGCCCAAAGCGGACAATATCATACTATGGGGAGTTGGATTGGGCTTGAAAAACCCAATAGTACATAAATATATAAAAGATGTATAATTATTCTAACGTGATCTGATTGATAAAACTGATACGCATTTTAAGGCTAGTATAAAAGAAAGCTATATGTTATATGTAGATAATTCCATGCAATGTTGTTCTTGATCGGTGTGTATATAATTGTGTATATATATGACAGCTTCGTGAGAGATGTCCGGGAAACAGAGGAGCAATAATATGGTACGACCAGTGTGTTTTGGAGATTTCTTCGGTCAATACCAAAGGGAGGATTCGTTACGATAGTTTTTTCAATATGACCAACCTAAAGAATGTGAGTAGCGATGCGGAGCAGTTTAAAAATAAAAGGAAGGATCTCTTCGACAAGCTATTGGTAAAAGCCACTAAGGATGTAAGCGAAAAGAATGGTTGGTACGCAGTGGGTGAGACGAGGATAGGGAGAAATAAGTTGTATGCAATGATGCAGTGTGCGCTAGACTTAACACCGAACGGTTGCTATGTGTGTCTAGAATGGATTACTGGTAGGTATGATAGTTACTACTTCGACCGTACACAAGGAGGGAGAGTTTTGGGTAGGAGTTGTAGCTTAAGGTATGAGATTTACCCTTTTCTTAGAAGGTAAAAGGACTTTTAGATGAGGGCTCCATTTCTCTCTACCTTTCACAATTTTGCAATGTAATTTGAACATAATAAATATCCCATTATTTTGTTAATTCTAAAGGCTTCTCTAGCAATTCTTAAAAATAGCATTCTTAAAAATAGCATTGAAAACAAAATTAACACTTACATTATTCCTAAAAGTTCCATTTATACCACATTCTTACTCTCACAAATAGAAAAATAACCTTTCATTTAACAAACAACTAAAATAACTAGCAAAGGAAAAACATTATGGATCGCGATTCGTCTTCCTCTCATCGTTGGAGATTCTCGGAAGTGGCTCCTCGCTAGCATATCGATCACGTCCATATACAGATGGAGCTCTCTCATCGTCGGATATACGGTATGATGAGTTTATGATCAGACGCTAATGGTCACTTTCATCATGATGATCAATTCTAGATGATAGTGGACAGAAAATTAATTAACAATGTTGAATTTAAGCTGAGTTGTTAATTGTTTTTTAGATTTGTATGATGTAATACTGTGGGAGAATCAGAAGAATAGCCATAATATTGTTGAGCTGTTAATTCTAAGAGAAATAACCATTTATGAATGTCTTATCCTCAAGACATTGATACACATCACTGTAGTTCCATCAACTTCTAACACTTCTCATCCTCAAGCTTTGATAACTAATTAAAAAGGTCATCTTAACAATCATCATATTCCTTTTATTTGTATAATTATATACCTGTCGATCCAGTAACCTCTATCCATTTACATCAACTATTCATAATTTCATATCTACACTTTGTCATCTTAATCCAAACTTGTTAGAAGTTATTAGAATGTCCCACATTGCTTGGGATTAAGATCTTTGGGTAGTATATAAAGGATGTGGCAATCCTTAACTCTTGAGCTAGCTTTTGGGTTAAGTTAGGCCACATTCCTAATATGGTATCAGAGCCCAAGGTTGGCCCAACAAGCAAATTCCCACAAAAATGGTTTTCCACCTATGTGGCCCATATAAGTGGCATGTCTTGTTGTATTTCCGAGATGTTGGGCTTGGGCTGTTCCCGTTGGGCCGTTTCCCACCCACATCTCGAGGAGGCCTATTAGAATGTCCCACATTGCTTGGGATTAAGATCTTTGGGTAGTATATAAAGGATGTGGCAATCCTTAACTCTTGAGCTAGCTTTTGGGTTAAGTTAGGCCACATTCCTAATAGAAGTAATGTCTTAAGGAACTGTAAAATCATAGATCTTATGCTTAAGTCATATATAATTATGCTTAACACATTATTATATATTTATATAACAAAAATATATAACTTTTTGGTTTTCTTAATACAAAAACAGATCGATGGCGGTTTCATATATAGACTAGCATTACTTGCAGACTACGGTTTCAGCTGCAACTGCCCTACATGTGCTTTCATAAGAACAGATAATTCATTTTTTTCTATTTAAAAAACGATTAGTGATTACTCTTATACAATGATTCTCTTATTGATTTATAAATCTCTTTTTTCCAAAAAAAAATGCTTTTAAAAAACTTCATTTTATAACCTCCTTTAAAATATTTAAAATAAAATTTGATTAAAACTACATCGTTTGATTTTTCTAAATAATACAATAGTTTCATGTAAAATAAAAGTTAGAGATGACACAAAAGAAGTCTAAAGCAACAATTTTTTTTAACTTGCTTTAGAACTTCATATAGTTAGGACTGGTCTTGGCGTTAACAAAAGGGTAACGCTCAAACCTAAAGTTACAGCTCCTACCGAAAACTCTTGCACCTATTTTCAAACCTACTGGTTTATTTTCATAGCAATTTTGAAATTGTATGACATTATGACTCACACACTCCACACAAGCCTTAGGAGTTAAGTCCTTTGTACACTGAACCATTGCATAGATCTTCTTATTTCCGAACCTCTTCTCTCCTGCCGCATATAGTGCCGGTTTGTCCACATCTTTTACGAAATTATTTCTTTTAGTGACGGCTATATTTGTCAGATTATCGAAGAGAGTCAAAAACTCTAAAACTTCATCACGGGTATGAGTTTTCGCATTCGGCCTTGCCCTCGCGGTATCAATACAGAAATTGTCATCATAATTGATCTTCCCTGAGGTACTGATCGAAGAAAACTCGAGAAGACAATGATCGTACCATATTATCGCCCCCTTATCTCTCGGACATCTCTTAAAAAGCTGTCATTTACATTATGCATATCAACACCACAATCAATACCAATATTGGACAGACTAATTTTCATATAAGATAGTTTTTCTTGTCTATTATACGTTCATCTTGAAGATGATACAAAAAATGACGTGTGTGTGCGCTGGTAGTTACCTCAGGCCGGGCAGTGGCAAAGCAGGAGCGGCACTGGGGCCCGTAAATGTCTCCACGGCACTGAAAGGTGATGTAGACCCTTTCAGGCTCAAAACGAACTTCTTTAATATCGGTGTGGTCCATATAGACAAAACCGCCACGAAAAGCTTCCTGATCTTTCGACAATTCTTGGATGCCAGAATCGAGGACTTTCTTATAGTGGCTTCCAGGCTTGTATTCCCCTTGATTGGCAGAGCATTTGTGTTCCACGTACGCATTGTTCATGTTCAAGGACGAAACACTGCGCATAAGGAGCGCTTGTGCCACCATGACCAAGATAGGGACTAAAATGAGGCGTTTTGATAGAGAGAATAAAGAGTACATTGTTTTAGAGTTTATTACTATGTTTTCCAAACAGTGATAGTGTTGTTTATGTAGGATTTGGATATAAGTTATATATTTAGTTTACAACTTTTGGTTATACGAGATTCTTTCTATTGATAAATAAAGTTTCTAATACAATATATATATAGTTTGTAATGAACAGGAGAGAAGTTGGTATTTGCGGCGACAAAAGAGGAATTGTAAGGTGTGACTGAGTTCAAACTCTTTCAATCACACGATTGTAAGTTAATGACCTAGAATGAAGGAATTGTTAAATAGCACGAGAAAAATGGCCATAATTGTTAAATATAGTTGCATATTACACAACGGTAACCAAACCCACCTAGAAAAGAACTATTGTAAGAATTTCAAAAGAGCCCCGGATACAAATTTCTAAAAGAACTCTTTGTGTGTAATAGAGGTGGACTTTTGTTTACTAATAGGTCATTAGGATGTCATATCTATTACCCATTTTGCAGTTTAAATATCAAAGCCGATATGTTAGAACGTAGATATAATGTATATAAATTAATTTAGTATTTTCATCTTTCTCTTTTTCGACCTCTAGAAGTGGAGCTTCTCTTCCAACTTCAATTAATTTAGTAACTAAGATTTTTAATATAAACTTATGTAAGTATAAAATTTAGTTATATAATTTTGTATAGATATTAAAATTGAGAGACTACTTTGTAAATAAAATAGTTGTTATTTTGGAGCAACAATATTATTTTTTCTATTTTTGGAGCAAAATATAGACTATCATTGGAGATGATTTTACACCAAAAATAGAGTTTGGATCCGATTTGAAGCAGCATTGGAAATGATCTTAGTTTTGGTTCCTCTTTGTCATACACCATTTCTTGGTTATTGCGATGTACTTATTATCATTGTTAATTTTTTGAAGTTATGTGTGGATAAGATATGTATTGAATAAACTGTTCAAAGTATGAAACCCATTATACATTTGGTGTATTCATCATTAATTTGCTACATTCACAAAGGTTAAACACAAAGAGATTAATTTAATTTGTTGAAAAATTGGAAAGAGTCATTTTTCATATGATGTAGTTAAGCAATTAATTCAAACTTAGCTGCTTTTTGTTTTGTTTTTGGAATTAAAATTTTATTTACACGGTCTTACTTCCTCCAAGTTCTTGAAAAGGTAAAGGTACAGACTTAAAGGCTCTATATTTCCCCACATTGTTCAAATGCTCATTCTCCAACCTGATAACAAAAACGAAGATCATTAAAATTTTATCTTCCGATCTTTTTCTTCGATCAAAAATACCTGAAATCGGGTTTTAAGTTACAATCGAACCTGAAAAAGTTCCAAATGCCACGACGAACAATCTCTAAACTTGCAACAACAGCAACCAAAGCTCTTTTGTGCAAAAATGGAGCTTCTTTAATCCCAAGAACCGTCTGCATCCATGCCAGCCTCAGCACTACATTCACCACCTTTATTTCAAATCACAATCTAGCTGTTAGAAACCCCGCGAAAACACTACAATTCAAACCCGAAAAAATGTATTTTATTTATCTATTTATTTTTGGTTTACCATGACAATGAAGTAGATGCTTTTGTAAGGGACTAAGAGTTTGTCACGAAGCCACGGGTTCTTGGAGTTGCGGTTCATGAGACCCCAGTCCTTGAAAATGTCCCAATAAGTATTGAACATCGTGGCAATGCTTGAAGTGGTTACAGCCACCGTGAGCCAGTACGTCCCCCTCTTCATCTCAAAAATTGTCCTAGCCGCAACCGCCAATATAGTCGACAGATACTTCAGCGCGTTAAGGCCGTGCATTTTGTCTTTCTCCTCGACCAACCTCCTAATAGACTGAAAGAGAAAAAAACAAACAAACGGGTTAAACATTTTGAAAATGTTATGAAACAGCAAGAAATGCGGGTTCGATGTAAACTACGGAAACGTTTACATGTTTTGCAACAGAAAGAGTGGCGTGTTTATTGTAAAGTATGTATTTTATTTCTAAGTACCTGAGCGAAGCGGAACCAGTAAGGAATAATGGCAACGACAAGGTAGAGTTCTTTGTAAATCTCACTATCATAGCATGTGTGTGTTCGTTTCTTAAAATCTCCGCCCCATCCATAGTAGCAAACATAAAACAATAAGCTTCTGAATGTTTGGACCTGTGAAACCAAAACATATAGATTAATGATCTGTCAAGAAGAAAACATATAGATTAACCAGATGCTAAACCAAGCAACTTGTACCTGACTTGTCAATTGATCTGCGAGGAAGAAGTCCGGAAGAATAACCTGGCAAAGGAAAACATACTCACGAACAATATGTAACATTTTTTTCAGGTTTTATTACTTGTATTGAACGTTACCTTGTATAGAGGACTTAAAAGACAACGAAAGACGCTTCCAACGAAGAAATATCGGCTGGAGCGATATATTATATTGAATGGACAGAACAGCGCCATCATCAAGCACTGCGATCATACGTAAACGACGTCTCAGAACTAACAATGTTGATGTATTGTTAAAGATTAATATCAATGATCTAATTTCAAGAACTTACGACTAAAAGAGCTAAAGGAACGAGCTCCGTGATGACACTGAAACTTTTTGTTCGCGGATCCATTTCCATGTCGAGATTCGAGATGACTCCTCCGAATGTTAAAACTGCTAGACCAGAGCCTACCAAAAGAACTTCTCTATAACCAAGATCATTCCCTTGCTCAAACCCGAAAATAAATGGGTAATTTACTCGGTATCGACTCCAGAAATATATATCTGCTGCATACATAAACAAATGAACCGCAACAAACCCGAACAAGCTGCGGAAAAAAGTGTTAGAAAATCGTAAGATTTTATTAAGTTTCTTGAGGTTCTAACTCAAAATTAATTATCAATAAGTGGATTGGTCCATGTACTTTATATTTACTATCGCTCTATCTCTTTTCTCTTTTTCGATGTAGGATTTCTATTCCTCGGTTTCAAAAGGGATGAATGTAACTTTATATATAACGGACCTGTAAAGAGGGAAAATGTTCTCCATGTACTGATGCCGGCCCTCACTTTTTGTTAAGCCTCTAATATGTACAAGAACCGTTATTGCAATGGCGAGAGCCACAGCGCAACCGGAAAAGAAGCCTATATATAAAGATGAGGTTTTAGTCTATGAGAAAGAGAAAATGTCTTTCTTTTCAGTTTTATTCATAAAAGAACTTAAAAAGATAAACTGAGTACCAAGGAAGTATGTGATTCTATGTTTCTCCCTCTTAGTTTTAGGCCTTAAACATTTCATTCCTTCTCGGTGATTTCCATTGGCGAAATGCTTAATAAACGTCGCTTCCACTCTCGACATGAGCCTCGAGACCTGAAAACGTAAATGATAAGTCTGGTTTCTAACATTAAATAAAAGAGGATGTGAAAATATATGTATTAACCTCATCACAGCTACCCAAATATGAATGATCCACTGTATTTAGATAAGGCTTTGATGCATTCCTCGAAGTAGTCTGCGGAAACAATACACAGATATATATCACAGTAGGAACAAAAGAACAAATACCGGAAAAAATTTTTGTTAAAAGATTACAAACCTTGTCATACTTCTTTAGTATCTTAGCAAACGCTAATTGATTCAAGAAGCTGCAAAGAGAGATGATGAGAAACAGAGTTTTTGAGAAACAAGAGGATCTTTATAAAACTTTTCTTACCAATAACTCTTTAAAAACCTAAGCTTCTGATAGAACTCAACAAAAGCGCGGTTCATAAGCTCCTCGGCTCTCTTAAGCTCGGGTTTGCTGAAGGTTTGCTCACTTGGGAGACCGAGAATCATCAATTTAAGAGTTGACAATGGAGTTTCGGGCTCGATCTTGAGCTTTATATGATCCAACATTTCTACTGGAGCAGGTTTAAATACTTTCTTATCTTCTGTTTGTTCCATTTCTCTGATCACATCCATTGGTGAAGGGGCTACAATATCAAAACATTCACATCAACCTTTGTTAGAAGCTTAACGTTAGATTAAACATCACTTAATGCAGAGAGTTAACAACTTTACATTAAGAAAATAAAAACTTTAAACCCGGAAAATTTTCTTCTTGTAAATGTCTTAACACATGGAATTTATAGCACCCTTCAAACTACTTTGATTAACCATCTCAAAACATTTTTGTATTCGAGGCCGAAACTAGACTAATCTCCGAAGCAAACCGGGTATTATTGCCACTTAAGACTTCTATAGTAGCCGAAAGGTATTCCAACAATTTTGTAGATGGTGAGACTCATGCCCTAACCTAGACCCACTAGGCAAATCCTCGGCCACTCGAACAAACCACTAGACCACACGCTCTTGGTTCGTTTTAAAAACTTTTCTGATACAAAAAAAGAAGATAAAACTATAAAATAATTTGATGAAATGGAGCTAACTAAACCTGGAGTCCTCATTGTTGTATGAGGAGAAGCAGGAGCGCTCGCGACGCTATTAAGGTCTGGAGGAAGATGAACATTAGGATTCTCAACTTTAACTCTAAGAGCAATCAAAACATTTAATTGTCTGCTAAGCTCATCAGCTTCCTCCATAACATTTTCAACCTTTTGCTTATAAAATCTCAAAACTTTGTTGAATTCTCCATCGAGTCGCCGAAAAAACTGAACCTCCATCTCCCCTCCTTCCTCTGCCGAGCTAAGAAACGTCGTTGTATAACTCGATGTCTCGTCTTCATTGATCAAAATGACTTGTTCCTCGTCGTCGTCAAAGAGATGATAATGATGATGATGATGGCGTTTGCTGCTTAAAGGATTATGATGTTTATGTGATTTTTTCGGAGAACGAGAAGCTCGGTTTGTTAGACCGCTAAATGCGCGGTAAAGAGAGATTCTTCTCGATAATCCTGCTGCGCCCGTTCCGCCTCCTCCGTTGTCTGTTTTGAGCGGTACCGTGTCTCCGTTGGGAGGAGGAGGAGGAGTAGCAGGAGGACGTTGTTGTTTTTGTAGGCGATAACGAAGGATTTGTTTAACTATTGATTTAAGAGAACGATAATCCATGTAGGCTTCTTTCCATTCTTGGATCATCTGCGTTTCAAATTCTCTTCCAAACTTCATCTTTTTCTTTGGATCTGAATGATTTTTTTCCCCGGAAAGATTGGAGTTTCCCGGGAAAATCTAGCAAGAATAAGAACAAGAACAAAGAAAATCCTCTGTTTTTGGTTTTTTTTTTGTTTTTTTTTTTGATAAAAGAAAAAAATCCTCTGTTTCTCCTTCGTAATCTTTACTCTTTAAAATTTTGGTTATGGAGTTTTGTTTTTTATTTTGGTATGTAAGAGCTGGATCAAGTTTCTTTTTCTGGTAATCAAAGACTATATATGTGTGTGTATCAAGATTAATTTGGTAGAAAGAAAATTATAACGAGAAATATGAGAAAAAAAACAGAGTTATTTTGTGCATTTTCCTTCTGAAATCCGAATACAAATATCATGCAAATAATAGAAAAAAATAAATCTAGTATAAACGGGAAAAAATCACTAACATCATATTCGAATTTCTATATCTTTTTTGTAACCATCTACACCAAATGGTTTTAGGGAAATTCGGAACATAACGGATTGCAAAATAAACTTGTAAATCCATAATTTGTTAGTGTTAAAAATTCATGATCATATACCATAAACGTTTGCTAGCTATACTAATCCCCAAACGCAAGGAGGCGAAAGAGATGAAAGACTATAGACCCATCTCATGTTGCAATGTTCTATATAAAGTCATCTCAAAAATAATTGCGAACAGGCTCAAATTGGTGCTTCCCAAATTCATTGCGGGAAACCAATCCGCTTTCGTAAAGGATCGGCTCTTAATCGAGAATGTGTTGTTGGCGACGGAATTAGTAAAAGACTACCATAAAGATTCAATCTCAAGCCGTTGCGCTCTCAAGATAGATATTTCAAAGGCTTTTGATTCGGTCCAATGGAGTTTCCTCACAAATGTTCTCTTAGCCATGAACTTTCCTCCGGAATTCATTCATTGGGTTACTCTTTGTGTCACTACAGCTTCATTCTCGGTACAAGTAAATAGTGAATTGGTTGGTTATTTCCAAAGTGCGAGAGGGTTAAGACAAGGCTGTTCTTTGTCTCCATACGTATTTGTCATTAGTATGGAAGTCCTCTCAAAAATGCTTGATAAAGCTGCTGGTGCCAGAAAGTTTGGTTTCCACCCGAAATGTAAGTCTCTGGGGTTAACTCACTTGAGTTTTGCGGATGATCTAATGATTCTCTCTGATGGTAAGGTTCGGTCTATCGAAGGAATCGTTAAGGTGCTAGACGATTTTGCTAAAATATCCGGTTTAAAGATTAGCATGGAGAAGTCGACAATATATTTGGCAGGCATCCAAGGGCCAATATACCAAGAGATAGAGCAAAATTTCCCTTTTGAGATCGGACAGCTCCCAGTTCGGTACTTGGGACTACCACTGGTTACAAAGCGGTTTAGCTCCTCAGATTATCTCCCTTTACTCGAGCAAATTCGCAAGAAAATTGATTCGTGGACGTCACGTTTTCTCTCCTTTGCGGGAAGATTAAATCTAATAAGTTCAGTTCTTTGGAGTATTTGCAACTTCTGGCTTGCTGCATTCAGGCTACCGCGAGAATGTATAAGAGAAATTGAAAAAATGTGTTCAGCCTTTCTTTGGTCTGGTATAGAGCTGAGCTCAAAGAAGGCGAAAGTCTCTTGGGATGATGTTTGCAAACCGAAAGAAGAAGGCGGACTGGGACTGCGTTCACTTCGAGAAGCGAATGAGGTATGCTGTTTGAAATTAGTTTGGAGAATTCTTTCCCGCAGCAGTTCGCTATGGGTAAAATGGACTGAACAAAACCTACTAAGAAATCAATCTCTATGGTCTCTGAAGAGAAACTCTGTTTTGGGGTCATGGATATGGCAAAAACATTTTGTAAGGTGGAAGTAAGAAATGGACAAGCCACCTCTTTATGGTATGACGACTGGTCGGGACTAGGAAGAATCTTGGAGGTCACAGGGGAGAGAGGCGTAATAGACCTAGGAATAAGCCGCAGCCTATCAGTCGCCGATGCGTGGTCTGCACATAGACGAAGACGTCACCGCACAGCAGCATTGAATCAAATAGAAAATGCCTTAGAGAATGCAAAGGTGAATCGAACCAGTGAATCAGATATAGTGTTATGGAGAGGAAAAAATGACACATTCAAGGATCTGTTCTCAACAAAAGAAACGTGGAATCATATCAGGAAAAGATCACTTGAAGTAGCATGGCACAAAGGAATTTGGTTCCCTCATGCTACTCTGAAATTCTCATTCTGCGTTTGGTTAGCAGTTCTGAACAGATTATCAACGGGGGATAGAATTGAAAAGTGGAACATAGGGGCTCCGGTGACTTGCGTGTTCTGTGATCAGCGGGAAACTAGGGACCATCTGTTCTTCACTTGTACCTATATTTCAGCGATTTGGTCTGCCCTAGCAACGAATGTCTTCAAAGTAAGGTACACCACGGATTGGAACACTCTTATTACCTACATCTCGGGTCTTCAACAAAACAGGGCTGAGAGCTTCTTGGCTCGATATATCCTACAAGCAACAGTTTATTCAATCTGGCGAGAGCGAAATGGAAGACGACATGGTGAATCTCCAAACCCGCCTACTCGACTAATCAAATGGATCGACAAACAAATGCGGAATGCTCTTTCATCTATCAAACTCGCGGGTGATCGACGCTACGACAAGGGACTGCAATTGTGGTTCGAAGCAAGAATTTAAGCTCTTTGGTCTTTAGATTTCGATATTTCTAAACTCAATCAAACGTTGCACTAGTTGTAAAAACGATATTTTTTCTTTGAATATAATTTAACATTACATTAAAAAAAAAAAAAAAATTCTCGAAATTCTAAGTTTGCAAATATACATTTTAATTTTAAAAAATATGTGAACGACTTTATTTTCCAGTCTTTGGTAAAATAGTTACAAAATATAAATTGATATGAAAAGCAAATTAATATTCTCATAATGCGTTAGATATTAAACCCTTACTGAAAATAGCTGCATGCATGCTAAGGACAAATATGAAAATATTTGCTAAAATATATATCTGCATTTCCAAATCACAAATATATAATTATCTGCTTTAAAGAAAAAATATCCAAATTGCAAAATTCGTATCATTTGAAACCAAATCGAGACACAGGAAAAAAAAAAAAAAAACAAAACGAAAACTAGGATGATCTAATTCTTTTGAAAAAAAAACATATACGATGTGGGTTTGGATTCGAATAGTTTGACACAAACTATAATACATGTTTCTGTCACTTTAATATATGGTTATTCAATTATTGAATGGTTCTTTGTTTTCATTTTAGGCTAGAGATGGATGGATCGAACTAATTGTATTTAAAATGGTTATTATATCTAAATCCACAAAACAAAAATGTAAATCTTCGCATTACTTGTCTCAAATATACCCAAAATCCGTGGACGAGGTTTTTCTTCTCTCGTTTTTTGGGCATCAAGGCTTTTTTTTAGTTGTTTGAAACCACAAGTGTAAGTGGTAGTCCCTTGACTTTTTTAGCAAACTAAACTTAAACTCATCAGTTCCTTGTTAGACGGAAGAATGTAATAAAAATTGACAAAACCAAAAACAAGACTTAATAATAATTTATTTTGTCTTTTTCTTTGAACAAATCTCAACTTTTCATTGTTGTTGAAACTAGAAGATGGATTTGCTACCATCAAGATATAAGATTCACAAGACAAAGTTAAGATGGATCTTAACAACAATGACGATGATGATCATTAGAAGAGGAGAATCAATGAGATTAGATATGGAATCAGGTAACTCAAAATGTATCTCCGATGACATCAAAATAAATTACATGACCGTTGGGACTTATTCCATCGTCAATCCTAACGAAGGCCACCATCTTCCGCCTTCTCACAAACTCTTTGTCACTGTAAGTATTCTCTATGAATCTATGAATCTATGAATCATCAATGAATCGTTTGATGGAGTATCAAATCTTATGTATGTCTCTTTATAGGTGTCATCTCCTAAAGGGAAAAGCCATCATCATGCAGAGAATGTAGAGTCCGGGAAATTCGTGTTCACGGCAGATGAAACTGGCGATTACATGACGTGTTTTGTGGCTCCAGGCTATAGACCTACTGCGAAATTCGCGGTTGATTTCGAATGGAAAAGCGGTGTAGAGGCTAAAGATTGGACCACTATCGCCAAGAGAGGCCAAATAACCGTAAAAACTACATGTTACCTAACTATAGTTATTCATTTACATATTATAAAACACATACATATATCTCTAAAACGTATTATTATCTATATGTATAACTTAGTTCTAATTCATAATGTGATATGTTTATTCTCAGATGCTGGAGGTGGAGGTGAGGAAATTACTCGACGTGACAGAAACTATACATGACGAAATGTTTCAGCTCCGGGAGAGGTACAATTTCATCAAATTTAGTAATAGAAAATTTATTATAAATTTGACAATTTATCAGACTCGTATTTTTGTAACAAGAAGTTATATTTTCGTTATAACAAAAAAAAGTCTAAACCTGTGTTTTATACTTCTCCTATGTGATTAGTTCGGTTGTTTAATGTTGGAAAAAAGTATGTTGATTTTTAACACTTTTTAGGGTTTCATATTTCAAAATATAATTTCATTATTTTCTATCATTCAAAATAGTAATCAAATTTCTTACATTTTTCAAATCATTATAAATAATTTTTTCATAATACTACGAATGTGTTAAAAAATATAACTGCAAATAAATTAACACCATTAATTTACTTTTTTTTTTTTCAACCACACATTAATTAAAAAGTAACTCCATGAATGGTTACCCAATAAAAAAGAAAAGAGTTTACAAAAGTAATTTCAGAAAGTAAATTACTTAAACCATTAATTTACTTAAACTGCTAGTGTTTTTAGCGGTTTATGATTTGAAAATTTGTTATCCGATTACTTGACTATTCTGTTATTTCCAATAATTATCTAACATACTATTGAGACCGTTACAAACTCAACTATGAGCTTGCACTTTGATTGATGTAGGCAATGAGGTTGTTCATAAATTCCATTGACATGATCTAGTTAGCAAACATGAAAAAGCAATTTGATAGATTTTTAACCGGTGATGCAAAATTGTGACAGGGAACGGGAAATGCAAGAGTTAAACCGATCAACGAATTCAAGAATGGCCGCTCTGAGTTTACTGTCGTTTGTGGTAACAATGTCGGTCGCCGGTTTACAACTATGGCACCTCAAGTCATTCTTGGAGAGGAAGAAGCTCCTCTGATCATACTTGTTGCTTTGATTACTTTTAACAAATGTTGGTGTTTTCGGTTTAGCTTCGTTTACTTACTTAACCAATCAATAGTCTTGAGTTTGAATTTTGAGAAACTAAAATTGCAAATTTACTTAGACCAAAGTCCAGATCATATATTTGCACTGATTTGTTCTCTGTATTTTGGTTTGGATCTGTTTTGTAGTGTAGTATTAAGAAATTGGCTCTTTAGATATTAGACACTAAAAGAGAGCCCTAGTTCTCACACGCTCGGAACACTATTGAGAACTTTATGGATCTCTCAAGAATGTTATGGAAGGCTAATACCTCGCAGGTCCGCCCGTTTAGGCTCTGGAAACTCGAATATCAGTTTCATGTTAGTCTGTTAACAAATTTAAAAATCATCGACGGAAATGGCCTGGTTCCATAGATAAGTTAACCTGCACAATCAGACAGCTGAGTAAAACCCGCCAAATCAGACAGCCGAGTAAAACCCGCCAAACCCATTATTTTGCAGGTTAAAGGATCCTCTAGTAGATCATTTACGGGTCAGAAAGTAGTAGGCGGATTCGTGAAACCAAGCGACATCACTAGAAAACACACTACAAATATTTCATATAACTTAAGCAGTCTCATTTGAAGTTAGCAAAAACATGAAGCAAAAACAAAACAACAATTGACATAAACGTAGAGAGAAGTGTGTTGAAGTTACTTATTTAGTCATAAGAATGCAATCCCAAATCATAAAGCTTTTAGTCATGTCCCTTGTGGTGCTTATCCTTCTTCTTCTTCTTCTCATCATCATCATCATGATGATCCTTCTTCTTCTTCTTCTCATCATCATAATCATAGTGCTTCTTCTTCTTCTCATCATCATCATCACGATGATCCTTCTTCTTCTTCTTCTCATCATCATAATCATAGTGCTTCTTCTTCTTATCACCATCATCATCATGATAATCCTTCTTCTTCTTCTTCTCATCATCATGATACTCTTTCTTCTTCTTCTTCTCATCATCATCATCATAGTCCTTCTTTTTCTTCTTCTTATCATCATAATCATCATCATGATGATCCTTATACTGCTCTTTCTTCTTCTTCTTCTCATCATAATCATCATCATGATGATCCTTGTACTGCTCTTTCTTCTTCTTCTTCTTGAACTCATCTTCTTCAGAGTTATTACCATCTTTCTTCTTATCCTTCTTCTTCTCCTTCTTCTTACTCTTCTCATCTTCATCATCATAATCCTTACCACTCTACAACATTTCAATAACCATTTCTTTAACATCAATGATTCTAACAAGAGTAATCTCTAACCGATTCAAAACTCCATTATCGAACATAGTAGTCGCTTCAACAAAATCTAATTTTCAATTTCAAATTTCTCAAACTTACATGTTTTTTGTGACTATCGTCACCACCATCCTTGTGACCGCCATGGCTAGGTTTCTTGTAATCGCTCTCAATCCTCCCACCATAGCCAGATCCGTGCTCCGATTCAGGTTTCCGGCCATACTCAACCTCCGTTCTTCCGCCATAACCAGAATTAGGTTTCCGGCCAAAATCAGATCCACTGGATCCAGATCCAACGGGTCCGGGTCGGGCATAGCTACTGTACTCGGTTTTAAGAGCTTGGTCGTCATAAGCAGAAGACTCGTGGTTTGAAGAAAAGTTAGGTCGCTGATACTCAAACGCGTCGCCGGAGCGAGACGAGAGAGGGTAACAAGTTTCGTCGGACGGTGGAATTGAGCGGCCGTATGTTACGGTGATGTCATAGCCTCCACTATACGGCAACGGATCGTATTCGGTGAAATCGTCGACGTCATTGTCGTCGTTGGTGTAATACGGCATCGTTTTCGCAGAGTTCGTCTTCTTCTCTCTGGTTCTTTTTGGGATCTCTGAAAAAATGAAGATGGTGAGTTTTGTTTTCCTCTGTTTACATGGCGACTACTACGTAGGAAAAGTCAATGGGTTCCACGTGGCTTTATCTGTATTGTCTAATAAGTTAAAGTAATGTTTATTTTAATCCAAAATTAAATGATGTGGCAGGACTTGTCCAACCTCAAAACCTCCTTCAAAGTATCACCAATCTGTTAAAATTAGAAGGATAATGATTATCCATTTTTGACTTCCACCCCAAGCAAAAGAAAAATGTTATTCTATTGTCATGTTTATCTACTCTAAACTTTTCCTCCAAGTAATTGATCCCTATATATACGTTGCTTTGCTTCATTGTAATTTGGTAAGAAGAAGAGAGAAGTTATTACACAAAGAATGTTCTCTCATACTCTCTCGTTCTCTACTTCTTTCTCTTTGTCTCTTTTCATTTTTATTATATAATAATATTACCTCATATTTATATACATATATGATAGTAAGAGTTATTATTTATAACACGTTATCAGCACGATGTCTTTACCGCTTGAGCGTTTACGAGGTAAGTAAAATTTATATTATTTAAATTTATTTATGTTTATAGAACATAATTATTTTAGACATCGTGAGACTATGCCTTTTTCCGGTTTGATCGTTGTAAGTGGTAGGCTCTGCCTCCTTCACGACCAAATAAAAAGCTATGTCTTTTCCGGATTGATCGCTATATATGGTAGGCTTTGCCTCCTTTACGATCAAATAAATGGATATGCTTTTTCCGGATCGATCGTCATATGGTAGGTTTTACCTTCCTAACGATCAAATGAAAATTTATATTTTTTTCGGATTGATCGAAATATATATGGTAGGCTCTGCCTCCTTCTCTACGATCAAATAAAAGCTATGCCTATTGAATTCTTAATGGAAGGCGATGCCTCCTGAATTCTTGAATAAAAAGGCTTTGGTCTATATATTATTAATTTTATGAATTTATGTGTTTAATTATTTTTTATTTGTTTTATTCGTAAAGAATAAATATATGTGTTATATGAGATTTAAAGACTTTGAAATATGTCTTTGAAATCAAAAAATATATTTCTCTTATGAGAATATATAAAACACGTGTCAATATATTTTTTAGACAGTGCAAAATAATTGGAAGGTCTAGATGAGCTAGTCTCTCGACTTCCAAATGCATCAGATTCATAATAATCGATGCTTTGTGTACTCCAAAGTCTCAAAGAAACTCGTGTAGTTTCGAAAATATATTTCTTTATAATTATTATATTGAAATTATAAATAAATGTGGTATTGAATGTCCAACCACAATGGAGACATGCAAATGTATGATTATATCATGCAAAAAATAAAGATGGCATAATATTTATGATAGTAAACAGAGGTTTGCTAATTGCTATAGCCTAGTATAACCGGTCAAGCCATCCCGGTATAATAATGAAATATACATGAAAATCCTAGAAGGATTTAAAGTTCCAGAGACTTGAGTCTAATGAAATATGTGCGGTCAAATTACAGCGATCACTGTACGGATTAAAATAATCCGGACGCATATGATATATTGCTTAAGCGATTATTTCTTAAACAAAGAGTATGTTAATAATGAAATATGCTCTTGCGTCATTATTAAGAAATCTCCATCGAGATTTGTGATCTTTGCTGTATATATTGATGACCTAAATTGGAACTCGAAAAGAGTGATTAAATATCACTAAAATTTTATGTAAAGAAAGGGAAGCTTATTCAAGCACTGCATGCTTCCGTCCACATTTCAATGGTAACATTTAATTTATGTTGAATTTATTTAAATTCATTTAAATTTATTTAAATATTATATAAGGAGTTGGTTATATACCTTCTCCTTAAGTCTGTAGTAGGCTAAGCCTCCAGAATTATATGGTCTTTGGCCAAATCACCATTTTTCTTTGATAAGCTCATTAATGGTCAATTTCCGTAATATTTCTCCAAATTAAACCCCGTGTATAACCGGTCTAAAAAAAAAAAAAAAATAGATTCGGGCCAAGATAAATAGGTTTGAAAAGCCATCATCTTGGGAGGGGTTATTACAAGTCCCACATTTTTATAAGGATCTAAGAATAAATACATGATCCGTATCAGATGTGTTATTGATCCTAAAGTGGGATTCAGTTCGAGATGAATGAACTCGAAGAGTTATCATCTCGAGGGGGAGAATTAAAGGAATCCCACATCGACAAAAAGTCGATGAATTTTTGTGAATTTGACACCCCAGAGCGAGATAACTTTGGTGAAGTCATCATTTTTTTGATAAAGTGGAACATCTAAAAATGATGTTCACTCTCAAAATGAGCTTTAAGTGAATCGTTCATAATGCAAATCCAAGAGATTGCAAAACGATTCATGGTGATTTAATCTCCATGTGTTTACATGGCGCATGCAGTTTTGCATGTATTAATGACTATATACAAGGCCAACGATTTATAAGAAATATTTCTCCCATGTTATATGTATATGATTGGAGATCAAATATTTCTCATTTTGAATTTTATGGGTGTGAGATATGTTATAAATGCTCCTCTGCACCACATAAAAATATCATCTAAAAATGATGAAATATATAGATGCAGGAGATGAGTCTCTGCTCTACAAATACTGAGCCATCTTATGAGAGATGTGCCTATTGCAAGATTTGAAAATCATCATGTTGATGATAAAATTCCTCATCCTTATGGGAGAATCATTGAATAGTCTCGATCTTTGAACAAATGACTACAATAAATATGAACTTAAGAGTTCAAAAGTTCAAATAGATCACTATTCATAATTAATTGCAAATCAAATGCAAAAAGCTGATGGATGAGATTTCATGAAATTACTGATCCTCGTATAAATGCATATGAACTTAAAGTTCATAGAAAATCTCTTGTCCCAGCTAAAAATGCTCTTTAAAAATATGTCTCTGGCGGATGGCATATTATTGTCTATAACACGTAAAAAACGTGATAGACAACTTTGGTTCCAAATATAAAGAAAATCCTCGAAAATAAAAAAGAGCATATTATTACTAAAAAGAGGATTGAACTCTTAAAAAGAGGAGCATATAGACTCCTAGAAAGGAGCAAAAAGACTCTTCAAGAGGAGTAAAAAGACCGATTGTCATGGTTAATAACGAAATCAGGTACATGAATAAAAATCACTTATAATGATTAAGAGATCTCGATTAACCATGTCATTACGGCAAACATGGAACCAAAGACTATATAATGTCGACAAGAAAAATGATCTAGTGCACAAATGTTATTAATGAGGATCATGAATCTCCGCTCTGTGAGCGTAAAGAGATATATATTGGCCAATAAACAAAGACGCAGCCAAGTCTATATTAATCTCGTATAAGAAACGAGTAATTTCTGGACACATGGTCCAAGCATCAAAAGAGTATTATGATACTCAAGACAAAACGGTGTGTCGCACCGGGTTTTTGTCAAAATCACTCGATATTGAGTTGATGAATAAATGACTTGAATTGCGCCTCATGGGATGTCTGTAGGACTAATCCCTGAAAGATATATGATATCATAGTTATAATCCCGGGAAGTTATAGGTATGATGATTTTGAACATCATCGAAACTTTTTTAAAGACTTATTTGGAATAAAAGATCTTGGAAAGACAAAAGTGTCTCCAGATATTCCAACTAAACATCTAAAGAAAGAGATGTTATGTTAGTCACTTCTGAAGGAAGTCGAGTCTATATATTTGATCATGAAGCACTATATATAAATGCTGACGAGTATTTATATATTTTGTGAATTATAGCTAGCATATATAAATGCTGACGAGCATTTATATATCTAGTGAATATATTGTACCTAGCATTTGCTATTGATCTACTTGCAGGATTAATTCATCTCCTTCGACTAGACATTGGGATGAGTTAAAAACATGTTTTCACTATCCGCAAGGTACGATTGACTTGGACTTATTTTATTTTAGAAACCCCGAGTTTGGTTTAGTTGGTTTTGCAGATGGAGAATCTATATCAGATCTGTCTAAATATATATCGCAAAACAACAATTTCGTGGCGTTTCCAACAACAAAATTTTGGTCGTCGCTTGTTCAAGTCATGCCAAAATTATTGCGCTCCATGAAGCATATCGAGACTCTATATGGCTCAGATTGATGCCTTCAACATATACAAGAAGCAAGCAATATAGTCGCCAGTGAAGAGCCAACAACATTGTTTGAAGAAAATGTTGCATATGTCGTCCATTTCAAAGGAAGCTATGTCAAGATTGATATGACAAGACATGTTCTCCCAAGATTCTTCTCATGCACTCAAGAATCTGAGAAGAAGCAAGAAGTTGATGTTCAGTACATCCGGCCGAGTAACAATGTAGCAGTTTTAGTTCAAAGGCGTTGCCTGATACGCCATTCAAAATTCATCTTTTGAAGATGATGCTTCCAGGGGAGACATATGATGATGAGCGTGACTGCACTCTTTTTCCCTTATCATGGTTTTTATCCCACTGGGTTTTTCCATGACAAGGTTTTTAACGCGGCAGCAAATAACACGCAAAAGATAGATCTATCTATCTTCAAAAATCTCTGTCATGCTTTGACGAGATCAGAAGAAGCAAAGAGAATGATCGAGATGCATCATCATCTACGAAAGCTATGAAGAGAACAAGACTCGTCTGTTCCAGGGGGAGATTACGTCACTGTACTCTTTTCTCCTTATCATGGTTTTTCTCCTATACGGTTTTTCCATGATAAGGTTTTTAACGAGGCAGTACGTAATTATGGATAATCAAGGGGGAGTGTTAAAATTAGAAGGATAATGATTATCCATTTTTGACTTCCACCCCAAGCAAAAGAAAAATGTTATTCTATTGTCATGTTTATCTACTCTAAACTTTTCCTCCAAGTAATTGATCCCTATATATACGTTGCTTTGCTTCATTGTAATTTGGTAAGAAGAAGAGAGAAGTTATTACACAAAGAATGTTCTCTCATACTCTCTCGTTCTCTACTTCTTTCTCTTTGTCTCTTTTCATTTTTATTATATAATAATATTACCTCATATTTATATACATATATGATAGTAAGAGTTATTATTTATAACACAATCATCATTTGTTTTCGAAAATTCAAGTTTGAATTTGAATATTGTTGAGTTAGTAACATTTTTGAGTTATGTTCTTTGTATATTTGTTGGAACAAAACTTAACTTATGAAATTTTCCATGAATTAAGACTTAATAATTTTATATTTAGGAAAAATGATTTTCGGCTATTCAAAATATAACCTAACACATGAACCTTATTCTTTTGAGTAATGCTGCGATAAATCGTATCGACCCAAAATTGAAAAATATATAAGAAAAAGAGATAATGGTGAGATAAGTGAGAGAATTGTTGCGAGAGATATGAAACAAAGAGTGAAAGGAAAGTAGAGTCGTTGGTGATTTTGAAGACAGTCATTAAAAATTTCGGCGTCTCCGAAATCACCAACTAGAATGACTGCGACATAAATGAAGAAGATGAAAACGGGGAGAACTTGAGAGATAAAAGAAAATTGAGGGTTTTTTTTTTTTGTTTTTAGCCATCGTTGTGTCTATTCGCCGAAGAGGGTCATAATCACATCTAAACTAAGGCCATGACCGGTGAATAAAGAAAGTAAAACTATAAAAAAAAACTAGGGTATCATGAAGATATATACTCAGAGGACTTAAAAATTAACTAATACAAAAAACACTATATAGAAAACACTTTATATGTATAATTGATGACTGCACCCCTATATATATGTCCTTGAGTGATTTTAGGATATATATAGCTGCATTGTATGAGATGGCATGAATAAGATTTTTTTGTTTGATTTTTTTTAAGGAAACCCAATATAATTTAAATTTAAATTAAATTATGTCTTTGAAATTTCAATCGTCATCTTCTTTGGCAGCTATATCAAAAGTTGGAATTATTTTTGTTTGGAGAATCAGAGAGACTGAAACTGAGACTTTAATGTTATGTTTTAGTAATAGATTTAGCAGACAACAGTTTAGTAACCATGTTAATAGAATTTATACTTGCTAACATTGAGACTTTTAATGTTATGTTTTCGTTATCATATCTCTGTTCATTATTATCATTATTAGCATAGTATTATATCACCATTGAGTCATGCTATATTCGCATATCCACGTTTATCCCATCATTTGTCCTAACACTGAGATGAATGTAGAAAGAGATTTATCTTGGTCTGACGATAAAGAAGATGTGAGGGTTGATAACATGGTAAGTTAGCGGGGAAAGAATTCCTATTCGAGAATGAGATGTTCTCTTGGGAACACATCCCATCTAAGTTGGAAGTTACTCTGATTATAGTCTATTTATCACCTTAAATCAACGGTTTATCATCATGCTAATATTTGTGCTTATCACGCTAAATATTTTGTTACCTTATTAATAATAATGTTACCGTCTTCGCATATATAATCCAATCTTTCAAATCTAATTGTTGGTTCGATAACTGAAAATATATTTATCTCGTTAAAGGTACTATTAACATGTTAAGTAAGTTCTTATATAACTCTTTTCAGCCATCCATCAAACTTCTATCAATGTTTTGCTAACGATATTAACCCGATAAAACGTTATCTGCTAAATATCATGATGCATGTATTATTTTCTACATGATTATTCAGCTGCAAGGCAATACTTGCTCTATAATTAATAAATTGTTTTTTTTTTTTTGACATATCTCCTTGTAGGGGTAGTTTTATCATATCGATTTTGCATGAAAAAGGAGAACTAAGTATTTTATTTATGTGTATAGATTTTCAATTTCTTCGTCTCCCATGTATATATTTTTAACTCACCCAAAAAACTCCGTAGCTGAAAAGTAAGGAAAGCATAAACATTATGTCTTCATATGTACAATGTCCACCGTAAAAGAAGAAAAATAATTAAATAAAATTTCAGCTTAGATGATGAAATGTGGACAAAAGTCAGAATAAATGTATTTTAACTAAATTTATTGCGCTAACAGATATTAACAGTCACATCCTAAATTAATATATTAATACCGACATGAAAAATTTGAATATGCATGATAACATGTACAAATAAACAATTGGAAACATATACCATTTCACACTTTAAGATATAAAGGTTATCATTGTTATCTGTTTATTCTCGAGCTGGTGGTGGAGGCAACTTGTTTTCTATCTAAGTTTAGAAAAGAAAAAGTAGCTATAGTTAGATATTTTCTATTGATAAAAAAACATATTTTTGAATTATTAGAAGAAAACATGTTTCAGCTGAACATAAATTTGTTGCGAAAACTGAAAATTTGCGTGGTGAAGAAAAATACCTCAAAATTATGTTTTGTGCTAAAAACATCATTATAAAATTTTGGTGGAAAGAACAAAGTTATATTATAAGAAAAATAATTTGGAAACAAGAAAACGAAAAAGAATAGCAAAAAAAGATGTGGCAATCGAAAAAAACGGCATAGATTCTCCCGAACATCTGATTTCAAATCACTATTTACTTTGTTTGGCGAAAAAGAAACTCACGAATTCATTGAAGTGGTTACAGCTAGGCCTGGGCAAAATATTCGTTCGATCCGCTTCGATTCGGTATTCGATTTGATTTGATTCGAAAAATCCGAATATCCGTAAGATTTTGAAGCAAAGCAAATAGAAAAATATAATATTCGTTAAAATCGAAGCAAATACCAAATACTGTTTTTTAAAATATTGGATATCCGCTTCGATCCGTATTTTCCTATATATATTAGAATATATAATTATATATATATATATATATATCATAATATAGTTTGTGTATTTGTATCTTTTGGGCTTGGGAATTAGTTTGATGGCATGTTCTTGATCGGTGATATCAATAATGGTTACGTTTGTTTTTTTGAACATATTTTGAAAGCATATCAAACAAGAACTTTGATATCTGATATTTTGTTATTTTTATATTTACGGTTTTTTTAAAATATTTAGATGTATAGCGGATATCCGCAAATATCACAAAAAATCTGGATATTCGAATTTCCGGATATTCACAAATATCATAAAAAAATCCGGATATTCGAATTTCCGGATATCCGGAAATTTTCGAATCAAAGCAAATCACAAAATCGAGTATTCGGTTAAGACGAATCAAATATCAAATATCACAAAATTTCCGGATATCCGATTCGTGCCCAGGCCTAGTTACAGCTTGATCTCCACATGGTTAAGTGCATCAGAAACTTAATCAAAAATATGCTCACCTCCCTTGATTATGTTTCCAAACCAAGACTTTGCAATATGTTACAAAGATGGTTTGTAGGTGCTCCTTCAATGACGTGAAGCTGAAACCGAGTATTCCTCCTCTGGTTTGTAAGGGCCGTCTCTAAGCACAACAACATGAAGCAATTGCTTGGGCCCCCCAAAAATTTTGTTGCAAAATTAGGTCCCTGAAAAAATTTTCTGTTGCAAAAAGAAGCCCTATTTTCTTGATTTTTTTTTTTTGTTTAAATGTATAATTCATTGATCTAATAATATGTACAGAGTTTTAAAGGGAAACAACAAAAATCTACCACCAAATCACAAAACAAAATACAAAATAATCACTTCGGAGAAATAAAGAGTACTATTCCTCACGTTGGAGCTGCATCAAACCATCTCTGGAGAAGGTGTCGAAGACGAGGATGAGATGTGTAATCTAATGACATAATCCTTTTACGTATGATCTTGTCAATAAGCTTGACCATCGGTGGAGCTAAGGAATAGACACCGCTATGTAAACGAGCATTTCACTCTCTCCATATAAAGTAGACTGTGATTTGGAAACAGAGACGAAGGAGTATGTCTTCTTCTTGAAATTTTAAGATTTTGGTGTCAATTTTTAAAAATTATTCGTAAAACCTAACCAAAAAAAATTATGTTTGGGCCCCTATTTTTCAGGGCCGGCCATGGGTTTGTTAGTGCTATTTGCTATTTAGTTACATTTTTTACTCGATTTTTTCACATGCTCTTTAACTTTGTTGGAAACAATTTTGTACATACTTTATATTTTGATCAATCAATTAAAAATCTCATCAGAAAAAATACGGAGGAGAGGAAAACCAAAAGACAAACGATAGTTAAGATTGGATAACAAACTGGAGGAAAAAATAGCGGTGGATAAAAAAAAAAGAAAAAAATAGTGTTTAGAATTGTAAATGTTTGAGTGTTCTAAGTGGTTTGTGGATTATAGATTTTGCTTTTTGATTTGAGATTTTTGGTTTTTGGATTTTATAAAGAAGGAAAAGATGTCTCATTCAAATATTTTCATAAACTCATAAAGTGGAGGTTTTTTTTTTGTTTTTAAAAATTTGTTAGTGTTATAAATAGCTCCACACAAATTAATAAACAAAAAAATATTTTACCCATGTGTTTTGCGTTCGCCGCATCTTTTGACATTTACAACAGTTAAGAATTTGCGAAAACTCTCAAAAACTCTATTTTTCTTTCTTTAAGGAAACAAAAATTTCCATAATCTTGATTAGATACTTAAATGATTAAAAAAATCTAAAACCATTATAGAAATTACTACCATTCAAACTTTGGAATTTTTTTTTAGGTTGGACTGGTTTATAGGTCTCCCTTCATGAACATCGGGGTGAGTTTACAAATAAACAGAAACAAAGGGAGATTTTACGAATTAAAAAAAGAAAAGTATCCTGATCACTAAAAAAGACAAAACTAAAGAACAGCACACAGATGTTGATCGAACAATACCGACACCTATTAAACCCTGTTTCAAGCATTTTCCAATCTAATAAAATTCTCCTTCAAATCGACGCAATTCATCATTACCTCACCACTGTCACTAGGGTTTTACAAGTATGGCTACGACTCGAATAGTGAGGGTTGCGCAAGATGGTTCCGGAGATTACTGCTCTGTTCAAGACGCAATTGATTCGGTGCCATTAGGTAACACTTGTAGGACTGTGATTCGTCTCTCACCTGGGATTTATCGGCAACCGGTTTACGTACCCAAGAGGAAAAACTTCATTACCTTCGCCGGAATCTCACCGGAGATCACGGTTTTAACTTGGAACAATACAGCTTCGAAGATTGAGCATCATCAGGTAACGTTGCTAATTCTTGATGTTTTGGTATGTGGATGGTTCTGATTTGGTTGTTTTGCAGGCGTCTAGGGTCATTGGGACTGGTACGTTTGGGTGTGGAAGTGTTATTGTTGAAGGTGAAGATTTTATTGCAGAGAACATTACTTTTGAGAACTCTGCTCCTGAGGTAATCATATAAAGTCTCTTCCTTTATACACAAAGTTTGGATATTTCTTCTGCTGAGATTAGAAGAACAGTTTAAGTAGGCTTAATACTGAAAATCAGTTCTGGGATCTATAAAGTGTCTTCCTTTGTACGTTCTTATTAGTGTTCAGATTCAAAGTTTGGAATTTTCTTCTGCTGAGATTAGAATCAAGAGTTGTGTATGTGTTAGAACTGTGGTGACTTTAAAAATGTTTATTTTCTTTATGTTATTACACTTTAAGTAGGCTTTATCATTTTTCAAATGAATAACTCAACTCAGGTCTGGGATATATTTGGTAATGTTTAGTATGTTAATGAGTTATTTCGACCCTATTTTTATATAGGGATCAGGGCAAGCTGTTGCGATACGAGTCACTGCAGACCGATGTGCCTTTTATAACTGTCGATTTCTCGGCTGGCAGGTTCGTTAAGCTGTCTCTTTATTCAGATAACATCGAATGTTTGTGTTTCTCAATTAAGTTCTGGAAGTTCATAGTGTTGTGGTTTGTTGTTGTCACTTTTATCCGATTGTCTTGCAAATACTGGCGATGTACTTGTGTCGTTTAGAGGTGGTATGTTGCAAGTAGGTTTATCCAATTTTGTTATAGCTTATTGCAAAATGTGAAATGCAGGATACATTGTATTTACATCATGGGAAACAATATTTGAAAGACTGCTACGTCGAGGGAAGCGTGGATTTCATATTTGGAAACAGCACTGCGCTCTTGGAACATTGCCATATCCACTGCAAATCTCAGGGTTTTATAACAGCACAAAGCCGAAAATCATCTCAAGAATCTACTGGTTATGTATTCTTAAGGTGTTTTTGACATCTCTTCACTTGCCATTCTCTTACAGCTTCGACATTCTTCCTAGAAAACTAATCTTACATTGACCTAATCGTGATCATTACCTTCATGTGTTGCAGATGTGTGATAACAGGTAATGGTCAGAGTGGGTATATGTATCTTGGAAGGCCATGGGGACCATTTGGGAGGGTGGTCCTTGCGTACACATACATGGATGCGTGTATCAGAAATGTCGGTTGGCATAACTGGGGAAACGCAGAGAACGAGAGAAGTGCTTGCTTTTATGAGTACAGGTACATCATTTGACATCTCTTAACGGTAACAAAGAAACAGTTTTTGATATTCTTTTGGTTGTAAAACCTCAGGTGCTTTGGTCCGGGTAGCTGTTCGTCTGAACGGGTTCCATGGTCGAGAGAACTAATGGATGAAGAAGCCGGACACTTTGTGCATCACAGTTTTGTGGATCCAGAACAGGACCGGCCTTGGTTGTGTCTAAGAATGGGTGTGAAAACACCATACTCGGCGTAGAGTACTGAAAAAATGTTGTAACTGCCACTATGAGGCGTACAATAACAAAGAAACATGGAGAACCTACTGTAACCAAGTATCGAACTTGGGATTATCTTTTGTCTAAGTTAATAAATGTACCATAGAATCTACGATTGTACACTTTCTTGTTATGCATTGGAAAGTTATATGTTTGGTTAACTAAAGTGATATAATGTTTTGGTTATTTTATTGTATACTTAATCTTATAACAAAATGGGCGTTTGGTCTAGTGGTATGATTCTCGCTTAGGGTGCGAGAGGTCCCGAGTTCAATTCTCGGAACGCCCCATTATTTTGCTATTTATTTTTCACTCAACTAAAACTTAAATATTCTACAACACTACGAAAAGAAAGCTTTTTCAACACTTCTAATTTATATATAGATGAATCAATTTAGTTTACTCAGGAAGAGTGGAGAATTCAGATGTTACTATCTTCTTGACTTGCTTTTTGTAGATTTTGATGGGTTTGGTGAAAAACAGAAAGCAAAAGATTATCAAGAGCTTCATTGCCAATCAATCACACAACAGGTTTCAATAGCACAGAAATGGACTGAGTTCTAATTTCAATATTAGATTCTCAGATTTACCATCAACAAAATCGCGACCATAACAACAGTAACTCAAGAGAAAAAATACCCGAGAGAAGTAGAAGAAGAGACGCTCGAGAGAAGTAGAAGAAGAGAACACAACACAAGTTGTTCAGTAACAAAGATTTTGGCCAGGCAGGTGATGAGAGAGGCTTCACCTGGTAAGTTTGAAGTACAAGATCAAGATAATAGCGAGGACAAGGACTGTGATGATCGCACCGATGGTCCATTTGTTTCTATTCATCCTCCTTGTCATCGCAGTCAATATTTTCTTGCTCTTTCCCACGTTATCATCGACTCCATGAAGCGTTTCATGGGCCCGTAGGAGAGACTCTCTCTGCCCGTGCAAATCCTGAAGGATTGAAACACCAATCTCTTCAGTCTCCAGCATTGTTCTCCTACTGTCCTTGATTCTGTCTGTGGTTCGGCCTAATCGGTCTGTTGACATCATCAATCTTGATCTTTGATCAGCTGAAGCCTAACACCCATTTATATCAATCAGCGAAATCAAAAATATATAATTTAAATAATACGATCAAGATTGAACAAGTGTATAGAGTCTTTCTACATACCGTCAATTTGTCAGCCATACCAGCTTCTAGTAACTCATCTCGAGCATTAGCATTTAAGTTTCCAGATGTGATTCTCTTCACTTCAGTCTTGAAATTGTTCAGATCAGATTTGTATTCCCTTAATTTGACAAGGAGGCTGGATTTAACATTGGGTGGAAGACTTCTCGCCTCGAGGTCCATTTTCTTTACCTGGAAATAAAAAGTAACCATCAATCAGATACATGACTATGGTAAAACTTTCATACTCCATTAGAGCTCTGCCAATCACATACCAATGCTTCTGCTTCATCAACCCCAGATTTTATTTCAGATAACTTCTGCTTCTTTTGTTCTGCAAATTAGTAAAGTCCAAGCTTATTGAAAAGGAAACAAAACCTTGGCATAAGTAACCGGTAAGGAGTGATGATCTATTCATACTAATATTAAGTTTTTATCAGTGATCGATCAACGGTAACCTATGAAACTAAAGCAAGCACCATATTCTTTCCTTACAATGCATGAAGGAGACATAGACTTGTACTAGATATAAATCTAATTTCTGAACTCTATAGTGAAAGCTTCTGTTAGTCGCATTCATAAGCTAAATAACTAGGCTATCTAGAACTCCAATCATTATCTCTGAATTCTTTAAGACCACTAATGAAAGTTACATGTTTTTGGAAAAGATTTAAAATAACCAAGCGGTGAGGAGTGATGATATATCCGTACTACTAACAAGTTTTTATCGGTGATCGATCAACCGCGACCTATGAAACTAAAGCAAGCTCCATATTCTTTCCTTACAATGCATGAAGGAGACAGAGACTTGTAATTTGCATCAAACTTCTCAACCCTATAGGGAAAGCTTCTGCATTCTCATAGTCGCATTCATAAGCTAAATAACTAGGTTATCTGAATCTCCAATCATTATTTCTGAATTTTTTACGTACACAGTTACATGTTTTTGCAAAAGACTTTTGAAATAACCAAGCCATGAGTGATGATATATCCGTACTAATGACAAGTTTTTATCGGTGATCGATCAACCGCGACCTATGAAACTAAAGCAAGCACCATATTATTTCTTTACAATTCATGAAGGAGACAGACACTTGTACTAGATAAGAGATCTAAAAGAAGCATTCACAAGCTAAACAACTAGGTAATCTGAATATCCAATCACTATTTCTGAATTCTTCAACTACACTAACGAAAGATTTCGAAAAGACATGAAACTATACCTCCATCAAGAGCATTGGCTGAAGTACATTTCTTTGAGAGATTTGCAGAAATCTCACAGTATTGTCGCTCATATCTTTCGAAAACTTGACTCATCGTTCTCAGAAACCACTACTTGCTAAAAATTCTGCAGAATCAATCACTTAATCAAAATCGCAAAACAACCATGATATCTATCGTTTACATTGAGCTAGATCGTTGAGAATGCATAAACACGTATAGATTTCAGAGGAAGATAAAAATTCACATCGAAATTGAAGCGATCACGAGGGAAGATCGCCGGAGCAAAAAGCAGATAAATAGACGAAATTAGGGGAATTATATATGGAGATTACAATGTTAAAGACAATTGGAGGATTAGGTTACGAAGGGAAAACAAACTTACAAGATCTGCAGAGAAGATGAACGCCGGCTATAACGGAATGTGGATGACGGGGAGATCCGGCGAAGACAATTCTGGACAGAGCTGTGAGAAAAATAATTTTTTTTGTTTTTATTATTTTTAATTAAGAAGATATATATTTAGGTTTAGGGAAAACGGCATTTTTCAACCTCAACTATTTGCTGGCGGGTTTTTCCAACCCAAACTATGACCCCCAGTCGATTTCAACCCAAACCCAAAAATAATTCAAAATAAAAACCTGAACTAATGCAAATGAGCCGATTTCAACACGACGCGAAACAGTGTTAGTTCGAAACAGTGTTATGACAGGGTTTTTTTGCAACCGTTCGTCGGTAACCGCTCGACCTTACACCTCTTCATCCCGAGCTACCACAGTCCACCAGCTCGAGTGTCAGCTGACCGGACCACCCAGCTGGGTCAGTACTCGATCAGTTCACCGAGCTCGGTTGAGCTGTCGGTCAGCTCACCTAGCTGAGCTAGCTAGTCCTCCAGCTGGTTTAGCTCACCTAGCTGAGCTAGCTAGTTCGTCCAGCTTGTCCAGCTCATCTAGCTGGTTTAGCTCGAACATTCTTTCACTTTCTTTCTGGCTAAGTCTTTCGGTCCGTTTTCTCGGCCTTGACTACGCCATTCCCAATCTTTCCATGATCATTTCTCCATGATCACTAGATTATCCCGATGTTGTCTAAGTCATATACCCTTTTCATGACTCAAACGTTTCATTCCTTCCTTGGGTTAACTTATTCATTGGTCTTTCTCGACCATGATCTAGTTTTCTCTAAAACAAACCGGCCCCCTTTAGGATCGCGGGACGCGGACGTTACAAGTCTACCCCCTTAAATTGAATTCGTCCTCGAATTCGGCGGGTGTTAGAGTTCCGTTACTCCTTAACATTTTCCCATCTTTAGTCTTTCCTAGACTTTAGATACCACACTTGATCAAATATCTATTTCCAAGTTTGATCAAGTTTCCCGATCTTGGTCCTCTTTTGGACTTGATCTATTTTAACGATCTTAATTGGTGTAGATTTTAGAATAAAGTTGTGATATATAATAATAGTAAGTGAAAAAATAATATTTTTTTGTCAGTCCCTATATATAATATTAGAATGAATATATTTTCCTTTTTCTATAGTGTTCAATTATGGATATTTTTTTTTAAGATATGAAAATGGAAAATAAGATTATTTTTTAAAAAAATTAATATTGTTTGAACAATGAGTTAATTTATGTTACAACCACAAAATGAGAGTGCATATAATTTAGTTAGATCAAAAATCAAAATATCATAAATGAATCGCATCTAAAACGTAGATTATTTTGAATTACTTAAAAAAATTAGCTATTATTTTGAATTAATTTAGAAAATTATTTTTTCAAATTCTGATTCATTGGTTGTTGAAATAGAGATTTGTTTGAGCTAATTACGGAATTTACGAATTATTCACATAATCAAATATGTTATGAACATATATTTGGTATATAATAATACCAAATTCAATCCGTGTGTGGATTCTATATTTTCATTTTACAATCCGTATGAAAATATTGCGGCACAATCTATTATTTATTATTTTCAAAATTGCTTGCAGAATCAAATTTTCAAATATTTAGAAGTGTCAAACTTTATTTAACTCATCTCATCATAAAATCTTAAAATGCCGTCTGTTATAAGGATCATAACTTTCTACCATATAATACATTACATTTAACCCGCCGCCTACTATAAATATTTTAAACATATATTTTTAGAAAATCAAATTAATGTATTTATAATTTTTTTTTTAACTTTTTGTCTATTAAATATTTATGATATTCTTTAATATATTAAATTAAACTATTTTATAATGTTCCAAATTAAAATCTTTAAAAAATTTTATTGTATTATGTAAAATTATGAATTAAAAAATGATATGAAATTAAATATAAATATTCAAATAGTTATAAGGATCATAACTCATTTCATCATATAATATATTATATTCAACCCGCCGCCTATTATAAATATTTGTTTCAAAAAATCAAATTAGAGTATTTATACTTCATAAATTTTTGATCTATTAAGTATTGATGATATTAAAAAAAAAAAGAATATATTACTCAAATATGAATTTTTGACCCGTTAAATTTGTTCTTTCATACATTGAATAATTTATATTCGTTTTTAAAAATTCAAATCTTGGTATATGCGGAAAAAATTTACTTTTTTTTATTATATAGATGATATAATAATTTATTTATTTAGAGAAATAGAATCATATAAAGATGAGAGGTGAAGTATAATGATTAATAACAAATTAATATGGTAAATTAGATATCAAATATTATATGTTCATTTTGATTGGTCATTTTTTTTAAAGAAATTAATAATAGATTTTCGTTTTTATAATTAAATTATATTAATTAAATTGCATAAAATAGTATTTGACTTGTTTATCCTTAATGAGTTGAATTAATTTACTCTATAAATTTTTTATTTCTAATGGCATTCTTAAGTAAATTCTTACAAAGGAGAAGGTTAATTAAGGGTAATCCATAAATTGTACTCCCCAAATAATAGTATAGGATGCTATATATATATATATAGTAAGAATCGGTGATATGCACGGATAAATTTTATGTTGTTTAGTTTTAGTTGTATATATATATATATATATATATATATATATATATATATATATATATATATATATATATATATATTAATAAATATATTTAATTAATTTATTAGGGATTTTGAATATGCTTGAATACCACAAAGTTGTGTTAAAATCATACAGATTTGTAGTTTCATAAATTTAGATTGTTGAAACAATTAATAATATTTTATGTGTTTTTATTTATTTTTATTTAAATAGAAAATTATTCTATTTTTTAGCCATTTTCAAATTTGTCTTATTATAATTTTTAATGAAAATTTTACTATTATTTGAAAAATAATCAAGCGAACAAAATGAAAATTTGAATTTTTTGGCAAAAAAAATTCCCGCCAAAAAAATATAGATTGTAAAACCTTATGAAACACTTTGACTAGATAAGTATTAAGTAAATAACTTTTGATTATTTTTTGTTAGAAACTAACGTTTTGTGTGGTGGGGTATATACTATAATATCCTTTTTCTTTAGAGGTATTTACAAGATAAAATATTTGCTGGGAAAAGGTGAGATTTACGTCAATATCATCGGCGAGATTGAAATTATAATTCTGGTGTCTTCGTAAGAGAGAGAAAAAAATTCGGTGAGAAATCTTACCGACGAGAGTGAGATAGAGATTTAGAGTCGATTGTGACGGATCTTTCGCGGGAGGAGGTTGTTATGTTCCGTCGCAAAAGGTGATGGTGGTTTTATATGTGAGAGTGAAATCGAGTGATGGAAGTTGTAACGCTCGTGTTCCAAAAAGAATGAAAGAATTGAATTTATGTCGTAAATTGGAGTGGAATCGGTTCAGTTCCAATTGGTTTACTAAGCTGATGTTTTAATTAAACTAAAAAGTGGTTTAATTATTTTCTAGTTTAATTAAAATATGGTTTAACCAAATTAAACCAAGAAGCCCTTATTTTCCTCCTTTAACATTGACGCCACATTCCTCTTCTTCTCATTAGTCGTGACCTGCAAAGAAAAAGAGAGAAAGAGAGCTGAGTTAGTATGAGGAAGAGAGAGAGGTTGAAGTTTGGTAAAAGGAGAGAGAGACAGGCCAGACATGTTGTGGTAGAGAAGAGATTCGACATAGCAAATCTTTGGTAAAGGTAGCGAAATTTTCTGGGATTGTAGATAAGACCTATATCTAGATGTGACACTTTTCGGATATAGATTTGAGTCAATATTCTAAGAATTATTTGCGTTTTCGTGAGCTATTCTGTTTCAAACGCGATTTGGACCAGCGTTTATTCAAAAGAATATCGCGAGTGAACCTTCTGTCAGATAGCCACGAACTTTTGTGGGTAGCTTCAAGATATCTAGGGGAAGATTTTCGACGGTGGGAATTTAAAGTGGACGGTTCGATTTCGTTTTGTGATCCCATATTTCAGGCTGAGCGTTCTGTTACCAGAATTTTACAGTTTATGTTAAATGTTGTTTTTGATTGTTTTGGTTGGTTATAGGGTGAGTTGAACTACTGTTGGCGACTGGGAAGTCACTGCTAGTTGTGGAATTGTTGCTTTTGATTCGAAAATCATCCTTGTTTCAAGGTGAATGTGTGACCATGAGCTTATCTAAGCGATTAAGATAGTTTGATTTGTCTCTTATGTGTAGGCTGGATATTTGATGGATCCAGGATTGAATCTCTAAGATGGTTGTGTCAATAGGGTGATTGTCATTGGTTTGGTTTGTTATCATGAATTATGTTGTGTGTATAGCTCGTAGATGAGAGGATCGTTTCACTGAGTATTTATTAAAATACTTATGCATCTCTTTTCTTGGTGCAGGTAAAGATAAAATATGATCGTGGAATCATAGCGAGGAGAGGAGGATGATTTAGGGTCTCGTTGGTGTTATTTGTTTTTTAGAGTATGATGGAATCTTGGATTAGATGTTGTTAGAATTGTTAGATATTTTATTGGTTTATGTTGGTTAATTTATAATAAGTTGAATTGGATTTTTGATATGAGTTTTATTGGTTTTGGCATGATTTTTAATTGAAAAAATTAATTAATATTTATGGAGATATTAGTTAATTAATTTTAAAAAAACGGTTCGGGTTGTTTCAGAAGTGATTGTGGTTACAGAAACAACGATGATGGAGATAGCGATGGTGGATACAAAGGAGGTGGTGATGGACATAGAGGATGGTGGCTACAAAAGTGATGATGGTGGATACAAAGGAGGTAATGGTGGGTACAAAGATAGTGGTAATGGATACAGAAATTAAAACGAGAATAAAAGTTTGGTATAGATGGTACAAACGGGATTAAAGTTTTAAATTATACAAAAGTTTTTAAAAAGAATTTAAATACCTTGTAAAACCGTTTACAAGGTATTTATCAGATTTTACAAAGTTTTTTAAAAGGTTATAAATTTTACAAGGTTATTTAAAAGAATTTAAATACCTTATAAAACTTTATAAAAATACCTTGTAAAATCTTATAAAAATACCTTGTAAAACTATTTTACAAAGTATTTTTATTTTACAAGGTACTTTTAAGTTTTTTATAAGGTTTTACAAAGTATAATTTTCCGCAAATTGTGAAATCACGTTTTCTGCGAAAATTGTATAATCATTTTCATGCGGAATCACGTTACTGGCGAAATTATTTTGCAAGTTGTAGAAAAAAATATATTTTGACACAAAAAATTATTCTTGGCAAAAATTTTACCTTATTTTTCTCACTTTTACTAAAAAGTAGTAATTTAGTTATTTTACATATAACAAGAATTTTTTAAATAGACAACAGCAAAAAGTATATATTTTTTTTAAATGACATATAAAAAATGATATTTTTGCAAATGTCTCAATATAATATAATAGGCACTGAAATAGGTTTGACCAAAAACAAAAAAACAAAAAAAAGTCACTGAAACACTTTTATTTTTAAGAAAATGATTAACTAAAGTAATCAAGCAATGGAAGTGAAATTGAAGTTGGCGCAGTTAGTGCGACGGCCCAATAACGTAGAACTAAACCCGAATCTGTTACTCGCCAAATCAAATTCAATCAAATTATCCTCCAACTGAAACCCTCCAATCACCACAGAGGTTCTCGCGTTGACTCCTCCGTCAACAAAACCCAAACAGATAACGTCATCACTGACACTCACCATCGAGTTACCTCCAAAGATTCTCCAAACTACGTCGTTGCTATGAAGCACAAGCTGAATCTCCGGCACTGCGTATCCTAAGCGCGTGACGCCAACGTTCTGCGTGCTGAAACACGCGCTAAACGGTTTCACCGACGTTACTCTCGTCATGTTCCTCGCTGCTGCTTGTCTAACAAACATCGACGTAAAAGATTTAAAGATCGATGACTCCAACACAGTGTACGGATTTACGGAGCTGATCTTGGTACCTCCGAGTCCAGTACTTTTGTTGATCTTCAATAGCGTTTGATTGATCGGAACTGTTTTCTCCACGATCTTAATCTCCCTCACGCCGATGAAATACTCACCTTGTGAATATACCCCCGGATTGATGAGAAGTGGAGTTTTTTGAAGACGTGAGATTTGGATTCCGGGGAGGAAAACGTAAGGTACGTTGCCGAAGAAGGCGACGCCTCTACCGGAAGTAAGACACACGGCGAATTTACGGTTGAAGCTAAACGTAGCGGCGAATTGAGACGGTAAGCTGATTTTGTGACGTCCCATTCCAGCCATACCAACGGTTCCTTTAGCGAGTCCTTTAAGAAGAGAGGTTGATCCGCAACTGAATATTATATTCGGGATTTTAACGAACCGACCCGGATTGGATCCGTTAGTTGACTGAATAGAGACAACGTCTAAAGCAAATTCGCCTGAAGTTGACCATCCGGTGACGGTGTTAGATGGAAAAGCGCCGCAAGTGTTGTTACTACAGCCAGGTTTTGGAGGTGAGAAGCATGTGCCGCAGCTGATGGAGCCGGCAAGTGAGCAGACGGCGGAGTTGCAGCGAGGGGAGTGGTATGTGGTTGAGACGTAGTTTTTGTCACAGTCGACCCAGAGTTCTCGGCCACCGAGGTCGAAGACGACGGAAGCAGGGACGAGAGGTGTGCGTTGGTTGATGATGGTTGTGTACTGGAGGGTAGATTGGTCTTTTGTTACTGGGAGAAGGAGAGCTTTGGGACGGGAAGATGGTTGAGCTGATGATGAGAGTGAGAAGATGAAGAGAAGAAGAATGGAGAAGATGATTTGAGAAGACGCCATTGTTAGAGATGAATGATCTAGAAGAGGGTTGGTGTATAAGTAAGTATATTTATAGAGAAGATTTTGTGTGTTGGCTTATTTGAATAATTGGATAATGGTGTAACGTTTTTGTTCCGTGACCCTAGACAGAAGACACGGTTCTGCCAAATGTTGGGTGATGACCGATGAAGTGGGCGTGGGACTGCATTTCTTGACTTTTCCTCTTTCTTTCTCGATTGTTTCCATTTTCACAATTTCAAAATTTGTCAGTCTCGATTGAATATATATATTTGTTACCATATTCATAATATACTGTTTACTCCTGACACTTCCATGGATTCCTTCGTTAATAATATAATCTCTTTATCGATATCGAAAACTCCACGGTTTTACTTTTACGTTACCACTCTTCTTGAATAAGATAAGGTCAGAACACCTCCTTTACATATATTTTGGGGTGTCTTCTATGTCTAAAAGAATAAAAAAAATGAATATAAATATATTTTGGGGTGTCTTCTATGTTTAAAAGAATTAAAAATATGAAAAACAAAAATCAAAGTGTTTTTAAATGGGAAAGAATGTTTCTGGCGATAGTCCTAAGACCAATTATCCGGGATTCAGAATCCGCTCTGATCCGCTTCAAAAAACAAGATATCCGGATGAAGCGGATCCGGATCCGATTAATGAATAAGCGGATCCAGATAATAGAATAAATTAAAACCGGATATCCGGATCTGGTATATTTAATATTATAATAATATTTTATTACTATTATTTAAATTTTATTATTAATTTTTATTATCTTTAATATAATAATAATATTTTTAATTCTTTATAATAAATTAATTTTTTATATCTTTGTGTTCAAATTTTATATTAATAAAATATTTTTATACAAAAAAACTCAGATCCGGATATCCGGTTATTTTCACGGATATCCTAAACCCGGATATCCGGATGAGGCGAATCCCATCCGGATCCGGATATCCTAAAAAAGTCGGATATCCAGATCCGGTCTAGGCCTATCTAGCGAGACATTTAAGACACAAAAATAAAAATATCTTTAAATTTTAATATTTTGTTAAGTGAAAGACACGCATCAAAAATTTATGAATGGAGATGGTCTCATGACAATTATTTAATAACGAGTATACGTTGAAATTAGTCATAGTTTAGGTTTATTATTTAAAATATTTATGAGTTCGGGTTAATAAATACAAAGGATCGGAGTATGAGCTGAAAAATACCTTATAAAAAAGTTGGGGTTGATATTAATCATTTTCCCATATTTTATTTGATCAAGCATAATAATACATCAAAATAATTTCATATTAGTCATCTAGTTTTTTTTTTTTTTAACATCTATATAAGTCATCCAGTTTATAAAATATCGGAAAAGACATTAACTTGTTTATCCGAATTTTTGTTTATTTTTCAAGTTTCTCATGTATATACCTGTTTAGAATATAATGTTGACATACTAGTAGAACCCTTGTTTTAAAAATCGTTAGACGCAAGTCAGACGATCGGTATGGAGCTAGCGATTAATCGGAAAATCAGATTAAAATTGGGGATTACTTTTAGAGTTATTTTGATATTTTAAAAACATATTAATTCAATATAATATAGTATTTTAACTAAAAAAAACTATTATAACAAAAATCTAAACATTGACTTACATTGAATAGTTTGCTTTATTATTTGATATTTTCTAATTAAAGAGAAATTATTTATTTACTGGAAAAAAAGTATTGAGATTAGAATCCACACATTCATTGCACAATCTCACACTATTCAATTACAAGTTCAAATCCTCGTCTATATTAAATAATTCTACTCTCACTAAAAGGGTAAATCAAAATTTTAACAAACCCATTGGAATTGAAGAGAAAGTCAAGACATGAAGTTTACGACATTAGTTTGCATCACATTTATTGTAGTCCTCGTTTCATTTCTGGCTCCGATCAATTCGGTGAATCAAGCTTGCGACAAAATTGAGATCACAGGATGTATACCAGCGATACTTTACGGAGATAAACCAACACCAGAGTGTTGTGGGAAAATGAAAGCACAACAACCATGTTTTTGTGATTTCATTAAGAACCCTGTTTTTAATAAATATGTCACTTCCCCGCAAGCTCGTGCGATCTTAAAATTTTGTGGTATTCCTTATCCTACTTGTTGATGTCCAAAATATTACTAAAGTAATTATTAATTTTATAATTTTTATGTAAGAGCTATGATGATAGAGAACTCATCACTAAGTCGTGGATCATGTTAATTCCATGTAATGTTTTCTTAAATCATAGCTTTCTATCATAAAATTGTTCTAGTTTGAGCATGTTTAACTATGTAGTTCTCACAAAATGTTTAACCAAAAAAAAATGCACTTCCGTGCGACGGTGACATACATAACCAAATAAAATAACTTAAAAACCCTTTCTGCACCATAATATTTCCAAAAATCAGGTGTTACACATCGTCTATACATTAGAAGAGGGGCATTAATACTTATGTAGCAATCCTACCATTTTTCTATGACTATTTTATTTTTGATTTTGTTAATTTTACGATCTTTATTACCAAACACTTTTAATTTCAAACAAAACCATTTGCCAAACGCCCATAAAAGATTTTTAATATCTAAAGTTACCAAAATTCGATATTTCAATTTTTCTTTATTACCAAAATTTAAGTATTTCAAATATCTATTATATTAAATGCTTTGTAAAACTAAAATCATGAGATGGCATTTACATGTCACTTTTTTGTTTTTCCACGCAGCCTCGCAGATGTAACAGAACTCGTGCTTGCAACGAATGTGAGGACCAAAACAACAAATCAATCTCAGTAAGTATCCAACACACACTTTACACAATAAAAAAACGCACACAAGAGACACTATACATGCATGTCATGTCTTTGCACCCTTCAACACGCTCTACTATGGTCAGACAATTTTCGCATTTCTTCCAGTCGGGAAAGTAACTAGAACAATCTATTTGTTTTTGATGAACTTAACCAAAATAGTCAAAATTTGAGAGACTTCCAAAGAAATGAAATCTAATGAACACCAAATAAACCAGAACTAGAAAACAAAGGAATCCCACTACCCTTTCAGAACAACCACATATCTATCATTTTGACCTATTTTTCTCGGATCCTTGGCCAGCTGCCTCGCAACCTCTATTTCTTCTATTCAGGTAAGACATCTGGGCGAACAGGTAGATGATGTTGACCACGGCTAGCACTACCCCAGTTTGATTGTCGACTTTGTGCGATACAAGAACCAAATCGAAACCAAGGAGACCAAAAAATATATGAAACGTACGTCCACATAGATCAAACGCTCAACTCTTTCTCCCACAGCGGCCCCGACAGCTTCCACGTCGGTCGTTTTGCCTGGATTCATTTTTTTTTCCAGTAAATCGGTGATAGAGAAACGCGATTACTGTACGCATAATAATCATTTTCGAGGTAATTGTAAATGATTATTTTACCCCAACTGAACTAGCCTCCAAATTTATCCATCCGTACAATTCAGATATTTTCTTTATTAAAAAAAACCATAAAAATGATATGAATTTTAAGCAAGTTAATTCATATAAAAAGATTCCGATACTTAAACTTACAGACGAATGAAAATCTTTTTATCATCGTAGAAATCTAGAAAAGTAACTTCATTTATTTGATGTCAATTATTTTTTATTTGCCACAGTGTCAAGGGATGCACATGAGAAATATTAAAAATTCACCCTGTGAATAATGTAAAAAAACTCATAGTCCTTTTTACAACACCATAATCCTTTTTATATTGACGAACATCTTTGTCCAAGAAGTTGACTACTGGATCACTTCATAAAAACTTGAAAAAAAAAAAAAAAAGTTGACTTCTGGATCACTTCATCTTTTCCTAAGAAGAAGATTAAGTGTTTTTTAAGAAAGCAAGTCGATGAATCCAAACTATTTGCAATAAGATTAAGTGTTCTTTAATCTATATATAATAGCAATCTACTAAATACCATTTGCACATCTGAACGGTTGCGTCTTTTTATCACAACTTTTCGTTAATGTTTTTATTAATTAAAATATATATTTTACGGTTACGATTTTTTTTTATAAATTGCATTCTGAATGTTTTCTACGGTTGCGTTTTTTATTGTAACTCTTCATAAACAGTTGAAACCGCTTATTCGAATTATTGCAATATTTAGTTTCTTTTACAAACAATTGCAACCTTTGGTTTATATATTTAGTTTATTTCACAAACAATTGCAATTTTTAGTTTATTTTATAAATAGCTATAATATTTAATTATCTACCGCCGCGTCTCTCGGGGTAACTTTTCATAAATTATTATTTTAATTCTTAATTTTTAATTACTAAAATATTTTTAAATGAGATTGTAACTATTTAATTGAACTGTTTCAACATTTGAATTATTTGACGAATTATTGCAACTTTTGGTTTTGTGTTACGAACCATTGTTATCTTTAATATATTTGATGAACTATTATTGCAACATTTGGTATAATTGACGAATCGTTGCAGTTTTTGGAATATTTGATATCTACGGTTGCGTTTCTCGGATAAGTTCGTCATATTTTAAAAAAATATTTAAATACTAAAATATATTTAAATGAATTGTTGTTACCGTTTAATTTAACACAATAGCATTTGTTTTATTTGACGTTGAACGTTTTGGCTTATTTATCAAACCATTGTAATATTTGGTTTATTAGTTTATACTTTTTGCACTTGCGAATAGTTTTTTAGTTACAAATTATTGTTTTTCTAATATTAATATACTTAATAAATTCTTGTGAGGGTTTTCTTTATAATAATTTTTGTAAAATATATATTGATTTGTTATTAAAAAAATTCAAAATTATTACAATTCATTATGATTTTTTCGTTTGATATTTTTTAAATGATTTTTGAAATATATTCCCCCGCGACATCGCGGGGGTCCTGAGTCCTAGTAATATTAATATAAATCTACTGTCAAAATTTTAAATTTATGTGTAAGGTACTTCTAAAAAAGAGTAATACAAATCATACGGTGTAATATAAATCTACGGTCAAAAATTTAAACTCAAAGGCAAAGCATACGGTGTTAAACAATCGACCCCTTAATCTCTATACAAGTTATTATTAATATATCTTTCTCCCTTAACTCTTTTAATATATAAAGGATATGTAAAACACATCAGACTAATGCACATAATGTAACTTGAAGCCTAATTTTAATTGCTTGTTTTATTTTAATTTGCTTAATATTTTATTAGCCTAATTTCGAGACTGTTAGCTTATTGTGTAAACAAAAGAACTTTGTGGAATTCGACCTTTAAGTGCTGCAATTGATCTCTTATTTGAGAGAGTAGTTCTAGGTTCAATTTGATCCATATCACTTTCTCCCTTAACTCTTTTAATATATAAAGGATATGTAAGAACACATCAGAGTAATACACATACTGTAACTTGAAGCCTATCTAGGAAATAAATAAAAAAAAATACAAATTTTTTTGTCACGAAGCAAACACATAAAATGGTCTCCAGATTAGTATTTTGGTTTCTCTCATCGAGAAGCATACCATGAGTGTTCTGAACGCTTACTGAGGCAACTCGAGATCGGGTCTTCGATCAAAAGCATCACTAGTAGAATCATCTGGAAATGCATCTGGATATGTAGCCGAAATCTTACTTTTAATGCTCCTAAATCATGAGAGGATTCGTGAGCCACATAAGAAGAATCTAAAGTGGTCTTGAATCAGAACTGAAATGGATACAAGAACAGGAGGATCATACCTTAGTTTCAAGAAGATGTAATCAAGGTCAGCTTTCATCGATTTCAAAAGACGGGTGTTTCTAGCGAATTCCAATGATACATCAGCGAAGCAGTTCTCCGCAAAGTCGTTGTAATGAGAGAGAACTGCATTGCTATCCTGTAACCTCCCCAATCTAGGACATAGGCACAAAAGCTTTGATCAATAATCATCAAAGTATCAATCAACATAACAAGTTCTTCACATAAACCAACTCAGCAAGAGATAAAAAGATGAAAACATTCAAACAAAAGACTCGTCACAACCTGCGAAACCGCAATCATTAACCGCAACTGCATATAACAAGCCCTTACTTTTAGTCTCTTTAAGAACTCATATTGGTGTGATCAATGTTAAAATGCTTCACTAGATTAGATTCCAACAGATTTTCATCAGTTTGGGAGAAACTTAAACTAAAAAAAGCTCCAATAAAATTCAGCAGTTGTTTCACCATAAGGAAAATGAGACACTTGAAATGCTTACATACATGAGATGCTGCAAATGTCTAAGAGAATTCAGATCTTCTGCTTTAACAAGAGTTTTGAATTCATCAGAAACTTCTTGTGAAGCTGCTCTTATGGTTTCTTCCATCAGACACTTCTTATGAACCTTCTCTAATGGGTTCTTCTTCCACCTGAATGACAAAGAGTTAATGTCTTAAATCAGACAGAACTAGAATCAAAGACTCCAAATTTCTCATACATAACAACCTAAAATTCCACATTCTACATTGCCCACAAAGAATCAGAGTCACAGATTCGAGCAAACAAAACGAAATCAACTTTTGCGATTTTCTTATAAACAAAGAAGATCTAAATCAAACGTAATTTGAAACACCTGAATCAAAGATCACACAGAGTAATATTGAGTAAAAATCAAACGAATTCGAAAATCGTTCATGTACAGAATCAGATTTACCTTGTGGAGGAGACTTGACTCGGTCAAATCGGAGACGTCGACATTTTCGATTATAAAAGCTTTGTTTAACAGTTTTCTTACAAAGGAGACAAAGAAAGTGTTAATTTTCTTAAAAGGCCGACATCTATTCAGAATTAAATAACTGATGGGCCTGGTTTTGGGCTGGATTTAGGAGAGATTATTCTCCCATTTGGAAAGGAGTTACTTTTTATAGAATTTTCCATCCAACCAAAATTTTTTTGACATACTCCCTCCATTTTATATTAAGTGTTGTTTTAGGCTTTTTTTTTTTTTTTTTTGGATAAACCTTATCGGCTGATCCGGTCAGCCCCGGTAGAAACACACCGAAGTACTTTAGAGTGGACTTCTCCCCGAAGGACCACTATACTGTCTGTCCCGAGTTTGGAATGTTTTCCGACTAATACCAGGGGTAGCCAGATTGCATGTTACTGACTACCAGGTAAACTGTTTGGGCCTTTGGCTCAAATCCAGACTTTCCACATATGTGATTTTTGTTTCCAGGGTGGATCGAACTTGGGTTAGTTTCTTCCAACATTTCTCCAATTCTCCCTTACCACTAGACCACAGCTGTGTAGGCATTGTTTTAGGCTTTGAATTTTGTTTTAAAATAAGTGTCGTTTTGTATTTTTGATGCATATATTTGGTAAAATTTCCAGTTTTATTCCTATTAATTTAATTTATTGACCAATAAAAAAAATTGATACAGTATATAGATAAAGGGTAAAACAGAAAATTTATTTGTTTTTTTAATATATGTGCAAAAACCTTAAATGACATCTTATTATGAAACAGAGGGAGTATTAAAAATAATAATTGAAACCAAATAAAAACTAAATCAAATGTAAAGTCGTTATTTTGACACAAGAAATCACAATGACTAGATATTCAATATATATAATTCAATCAATTCAAGACTTGAGGTCCACGGAAAAAGTAAAATTTCCAAAAACACTCTGAAAAAAGGAAAATTAGGTTTTATCATAAGGAGAAGTTGGTGAGATTTTGTTGACAATAATCGATATGATGAATGATGAAGGAACGTAAGAATCTACCGGTGTTGGAGAAAAAAGAAAAGTTTCTCCAAACTTGAAGGAAACTAGCTGCCCATCTAAATACTGTAGAATACTCTCGCCATGACCACCACCTATATTAAAATGATTGAACCAACCCAACCATATTAAATCTGAACATTGATTCACCGCAAATAGAGATAATTGGCAACAAAAGTCTAAGACGCACACTCATGACCTAGGAAGCACGGAATCTTCTCATTAGAAAGGAAACCCAAACCCTAATATATATGGAAAATAACAGCTTCATATTTTAGACGGAGAATTAAAAATAAATAAAAAGGTACTTTTTACATAAATGTACGAAACTAAAATATAAATCAATTTCTTTTTTCTCGATAACAAATGAATTTCCTTTTTCTAAATAGGAAAAAAACCTGAAAAAAAGTTAAGCCAAAGTTGGCTAATATATTATATATATCTTATGAAGATGCAGCCTCTTGCATTTACATCTTATATTCCTGTCTCAAATTGAGTCGAAGATATAATAATCTCAACGACGTCTTCATACTTCTGGTCCAAACCAATCGAAAACGAGAATGATCCAAAAAATACCACAAGACCTCCAATCCTTGGCATCCGAGGCAATGAAGATGCCTCCCTTGTTCCACGGCAAGTCATCGAAAAACCCTAAAAAGAGTTTGGTCTCCACGACTCTCTGTTTGTCGTCTTGTGAAAACCCTAATAAGAGGAAGATGAACTCTAATGATGATCCCAAGTTTTCTTGCAGACCAAGCGATGACAACTCGACCAAAGAAGAAAGAAAGATTAAACGAATGAGGTATCTCTCGAACGAAGAAAAGGCAGAGGAAGAATGGTACGGTGTTTCAACAGAACTAACACTCTTCAAAGATCCATGGATCATCAAGAAAGAACTAACAAATAGCGATCTTGGCCAACTTAGCCGTCTTCTTCTTCCTACTGGCCCCATTGAGGATCACATTATCAAATATCTAAACAATGATGACAAAAATAATGTCCAACAAGGGTTAGGAATCACGGTCGATGTGTACGACCACGACACTGATTCTACGTTCGAGCTGATTCTAAAGAGATGGACAACGTTGAATAGTTATGTTTTAAACGGAGGCTGGCGAATGTATTTTATCCGTAGGAGAGGTTTGAGAAAAGGCGACCAAATTGGACTGTTTTGGGATCGTTTTGCTTCGAGGCTTCACTTTCGTGTGCTTTCTCGTGCAGCTACAGAAGTTTTTGTTGATCAGAAGAACCCTAACTAAACTAGCTATATATGTTGGAGCAATGAGTGGAGCGAGATATTCTTCTCTTTTTTAGGCTTTTCAAGTTTCTTATTTACGTTTGCATAACTTTTTTTTTTTTCAGAAACATAATTTTCTTAACATGAATTAATTATTAGAATCAAAGTTAGTCTTAATCAAAGTACCATGACAATAACAAAAACAAATATTGATACAATGGCACGTCAAATATTTTGTGTTTTCTCATGAATGTTTTCTTACTTTCCAAAAGATTTCTTCAGTAAAGTACTAGTAAGACTTCGGCTTACTCTCTGGTTAAAAATAGGTATGATTAAAAGAGATGCTATGAATTCCTCCATATCAAGTTGGACTGACTATTGTAGAACATGAATTTAGTGAAAGAGATCATCAAGCGCTTACAAGAAAACAGCTGTTTTACGCCTACTATATTAGTCGTAGAGTAGTCGTTAAAGCCAGTTTAACGACTATTTGGCGACTAAAACGAGTAGTTGTAAATCGGTAGTCGCTAAAATAGATAGTCGTTAATGTAGTCGCTAAATGGCGACTAATGTACGACTATATAACCCAAAGAAACTTTGGTCGTATGTTAGTCGTCAAATAGTCGTAAAATTTGATGACTGATTTACGACTAAGTTACGGTTAACTCAATGGAACATATGGTCTTCTGAACGTAGACGTAAAATAGTCGCCAAATTATTAGTGTTTCTTTGACGACTAATCAGCGACTAAAGTTTGCTAGCACTCCAAACGCACTCTTGAAAGTTAAAATGTCCCCTAAAATATAAGACATTTTATATGGCAAGCAATAAGGGGCTATTTGCCTATTTCACGGTTACTTTGAACTTTTAAGCATAGAAGACTCCCTTGAAAATTTGAATGTGCTCGATGTGGAGAGATTGAAGAAACAGTTAATCATACATTTTGGGAATGCCCCCTAGCATTAAAAGCGTAGGCCATTTCTAAGATTTCATCACATATGGTTTTTTTCAGCCACAACAATCTTCTTTAATCTATTTTACTTTTTTTTAGGGTACCAACATCAATTATGGCAAGGAATTTCCCATAAATATATGACATACTATATGAAAAGCTATAAGAAATTAAATAATAAATTGCATAATAATCAAGATAAATTAGCACAAGTTAGAGATCAAGGGCTGGAAACCCATACTCTTACCACATTCTTTGTCTACGGATTTTTTAGGAAATTAGTGTTATATAAATGCTTATTCGAAGAGTATAGATTCCTTTCTAGTTTAGGGTAGTTTTGTTTCCAAGACGAAGTAAAGATTAAATATGGGGGCTAGAAATGTACTAGCCTCTCCCTCACTACACTCAAAATTAGAATCACTCATATGGATCATAATGTACATGCTTGAACAAAAAAAAATAACAAACGACGATAACATTACAACAGACTATTCCTAATTGGTGAAGATGGTGTATACACCAGCGGATTGGTATGCTTTCTCAACGCATTTGGATTGACTTGAAGATATTAGTGGATTCAACTACAATTAAAGAGATTTATGCTATCAACGGGTACTCTCGAGTGCGAATCATAGTATTCTATACCCGTGATCTGTGAAATTTAGAGTGTGATCTATACACTCTACATAGTCTAAAAAATCTAAAAGTCATTTATATTCTACGATTTCATATTTCTACGAAATTTATAATACATATTATATACTTTACTCTAGCTCAACCAAAAATTTGACCAGAATTTCATACAATAACACGACACACAAGTAACTTCCAATCAACCATATTGAATCTTCGCTTCCTTGCTCTTGGATCTGTCGCTTTGATTAGCCTTAGATTCAAAGAAGAAACTAAGGTTGGGATTTGAAAAAGAAGAAGAGATTGAAGATGAGATTTGAAGAAAAAGAAGAGATTGAGTCTGCGGAAAAGTTTGACGGCGGAACGAGAGGACGAAAGAAAATAATGTCGAGTTTTCTTTTTTCTCCAATGGTTTCAGAAAATTCCAATAATTTTGCATGATTTATTTTTTTGGAAAGTGAAAGTAGAATGGGATTTTAATTATTTAAAATTATGTGTTAACAATCTTTAATCTAAAATACATATATGGACAATTTTCTTAGAAAACCTCTTTTATTTCTAATTTCTCCTTGTAATTTTAATGAATTCATATCTCCATCTCAACATCCATCGTTGACTATCTTTTTTGGTACTCCCTCCGTTTTAGTTTAGTTGTCGTTTTAGGACTTAAATTTTGTTTCATAATAGTTATCGTTTTAGATTTTCAATGCACATGTTTTGTGAAAATTCCAGTTTTATCCTTACTGTTTTAATGTTTTGGCCAATGAAAAAATTATAAAATATTTTAATGGGTAAACCAGAAAATTTAATAGTTTTCTTAATTTATGTGAGAAAACCTTAAACGACATGTAATTCGAAACGGAGGAAGTAATTGTTTGCATTAAAATAAAAAGTAACTAAATTGGCATTTGCGAGATCGGGAAACAGAAATGAGATAACGGAGGAATGATGCTCATAGACCGATATCCCTCAATCACTTCACAAACCGGCATTTGCGAGATCGCCTCTAAAAGAACCATCACAGATCTGAGATCTAGAGACCATAGCAACCGTCTAGGTTGAGGACTATAAATCTTTCTTATAATGATGGTTATGTATGTTTTTAACAAAATAAAAATTATGTTGCACCATCAAAAACTATAACATAATAAATCCACTCAATAATTATTAATAAAATTATTTATAGACATCATGAGGTTCAACATTTAGGATAAGGAATATTACAAGCTTTACAAGTTTTTTGACCATTTGGAGAATTAAAAAGTGCTTGTGACCACCACTCGCCGCCTTTTATGAATTGACACAAACACGTTTCGTGTTCTCTCATTACTTGACAACAATGTGGAGTCGGCATAATCAGTTTATTGGTTAACGGTAGTAAACATGGTATCATAACATCAAGTACATTGCATGTCACTTTCTGATCTCCGGTCGGACCTTCAACCATCGTGGCTCTGATCAACGTTGGAGACAATTCGATTACTATCACCAGCACGAGCAGTGTCAATGTTGTAAACTTCATGTCTTGGAATCCTAACAATTTTCTGTTCGATTACAATTTTTTTTTTTTTTTGGTTTTAAGAATAATTGAGGTTTGAGTTTTGTGTTTTTGATATTTATTGATGGTAAGAGTTATTATAAATAGATGGAGATATGGAGTTTTATATGGTTCCATCGTGAGATTTAGTCAATAAATATATATTATCTCATTATTAACTTAACTTAAATGCATATCATGTTTGTGACATTTGTTAGATTTTTATAATTTACATATTTAAAAGGTTACCTAGATAAATAGAAAAGTAAAATATTTAAATTGATTGTCCACTCTATATAGTCAATGGCTTTTAATGTCATGTCTTATTTTTGGAAGTCCACTTTAACATTTTATTTATGAATTTAGTATGTTGTGCACAAAAGATTTGAAGAGTCTCAAATATAAGTATAGTAGATGTTTAAATATTAAATATCATTTTCTGAAATCTTAAATAAATTTGCAAATTATATATTCATATTTGAATACCAAGTAGTTCGATCTGAATTTTGGTTAACATTTTTGGTTATTACTGGATATATAAAGGAATTGGTTTTTATTTAAAATTCATTTTTGAAAAAGTATATTATTTTAAAAAAAATTCTTTTTTTAGGTCTGTTTTTTTTATGCACAACAATAGCATTCCCTGGTTATAAGGCTCCACTTGAGATCAAACACCCTCTTCATCCGAAGCATCTACTTAAGCTTGTCTTTTGAAGAGGGAGCCTTAAAACCAGGGAATGCTATTGTTGTGATAAAAACCTCGGAGGTATATTTTATTGTTGCTTGGCTTGCGATTATTGTTGTGATAAATACCTCGGAGGTATATATATATATATATATATATATATATATATATATTTTAAGGATATTTCATTTTATAATTTTAGAGATATTTGGAAAATAATATCTATCTCCCTAAATTTTGTAGTACAGTATCTTGATTTTACAACTACAATATTTTACTCAATTTAACATTTAATGATAAATTACATGTGTATCTTATTATATAAAGTTTTGTAAAAACTTGATAGACAAAAGAAGAAAAAGTAAGCCTCAATCAAATAGGAAGATTACGAAAATCAGTTCATTCCGAACATTTCGGTCTTACAGATTTTAACCAAACTAAACCAAAACTGGAAGATGTCTAAAAGATGCAAACCATGAGTTTTAAGGTTTAACGAACAAAACTGAAGTACCTAATTTGAATACAATTTAAATACAGTTGAGTTTGCGGCTATTGTAAAGTTTTTGCCACTATAAACAAAACAGAACAAGACATATAAAGTTCTTTCTAGGATCTTCTTCTTTTGTAGTTTTCTAGTTGGTTCTCAGATTAGGGTTCTTTATCTGAGGGTTCTGAGAGAATTAGCACTCTTCGTTTAAACACTTGAAATCTCTTTTGTAATTTATTAGTGCATGGATATGTGTGAAGGGTGGTCTTGGCGCGAGATGTACCCTTTGCTCGCGGGGAACTAGTTTTATCGGTGTACTTCTTTCTGTCTATTGTTGTTGAATCAGGCGAGTTAATCGACTGAGGATAGAAGAATGTAACAAAATTCTAATATAAAATGTAATATTAATGAATTTTGATCTCCAATCTTTAAATCCATCGTTGACCTCATGATTTAAACCTGCATAACCAGGGAATGCTATTGTTGTGATAAATACCTCGGAGGTATATTTTATTGTTCCTTGGCTTCCGGTTATGCTATTAAGTTTTTCTGTGCGAAGAAACCACCAGTCTTGTCTATAGACCATCCGAAGTGGCATGAGCATACACTTGCTCTGTTTCCAAGTCAGGCTTCTTTAACTTGCAGCCTTTGTGCCTTGACACATTCAAGTTTTCCTTTGTATATATGTCCCCCTTGTGACTTTGTGGTCCACCAAAGGTGTTTCAGCTTAACACATGTCATCAAAATATCTCGACATCACCATTGTATCTCTTTTACTCCTTTTGTCCAAGGAAACTGGTTTTGTAGTGTTTGTCGCAGAAAGATTGACAATGATTATGGGAGATATTCTTGTATCAAGGAGGGCTGTTCGTATGTGGCTCATTC